AGAGAAAAAATAATTTTTTTTGAAAAAAGTAAAATTAGCAAAATTAGTTGGAGCAAAAAATGTAGCAGAAAGTATTACTCAAAAATTATCTTAAAAAAAAATTAAAATAGTGGGGCCTTAAAAAAGTTAAAATTTAAATAATTGGATAACAAGCCCGGTACATATAAATAAAAATCTATAAAAAGTTACCTCTTATAACTTTTTGAGCTTGTATATGAGGATCTTGAAGGTGTTTTTTATTCTTCTTCTTTTAAATAAAAAAAATAGTAATAATGAAAGGTAAATAAAGAAACAAATCTAAATCATATATAATATTGTATACTAGAAACTTAAATTTAAATTAATTTATAAAAATAAAAATAACAAACAAAAATATTTTATTTGTATACCTATAGTATAAAAGAATTGTCTTATTAAAATATTAAATAGTAGTAAAATATATATGAGAAGCATATACATACGAGAAAGAATAAAATAAAGAAAGTAATAACTTTGATTAAGATAAAAGTTTTAAATATATAAAACCTTTAAAAAATAGACTTCAAAATTATACAAAAAAAAAGTATTGAAGTAAAATTAACACCTCCTGCCTTTGAAAACCACATAGAATTTGTTCAGTTTCTCTGTAGTCATCATCGCCTAACTGGTTAAGCTTTTCGGATAAAGCTTATATATAAAAGTAAGAAGTTGTCTAGATGGCGAAGTACTTATCATTAACTATTAAGTTTTTTAAATGAGCCAAAGTGAGAAGACTGAAATGCTTGAATATTGTTTTCGGCATCTTTTTCATTTTGATGTTCTTTTTCCAGTAAAGAATTTAAAGAACGGTTTTCTTGCGAAGTAACAGAGACGCTAATATCGTCTTTGGAAAAAGATTTTTTCTTTTGCAAGTCGGTTAAAAAAATTTCATCTTCTGAATTTTCTTCTATAATACTTATACGGCTTTTACGCCTTACAAGGGGAGGATCACCGTCATAATAGCTAGAAATTAAGTTGGTTTCTAGATTACTTTTAGCTATTTCGTTTTTATCCAGTTCTAGAAGAAACATGCCTTAAATATTTATACAAGAATAGATTTTCTTTATATATATATACTTCTAATGCTTTTACAGTAGAAGTGGAACAATAAACACAAACACAACGTTAAGAGAAAGTAGCACTCCCTAATATTAGTGGTATTTAGGCTCCCCGCCTTGGCTACAAAAGAAGTGATGAAAGAATTTTCAAATTTACAAAACTAATAACAATAATTTAGTCCTCATGTTTTTAATTGTGTCGAGCTACCTTTTTATTCCAAGACGAATGTTATGATAGTTAAACGATTGCATTGAAATTATTTAAGTTATTAGAATACTATAATATATTGCTTTAAAATTTTAAAGTTGAAAAATGTATTATTTTACCTTTATATATACGTTAGTTAAATATAGTTTAATTGGTATTTATCATTCTAAAGAATTATTATACTTTACCGTAGCACAGTGATAAGAAAAGAATGCCAAAACTTTTTATTTTATAATAAAAGTTCGTGGGGAGTTAAGGAAAACAAAACTTTCTTGCAAAACCAAATTCCTCTTTTACTTTATTATATTGTTCACTGTATAAAACACTTTGAGATCACTAGAAAAACAAAACTTCTTTGTATTACTAATATGTCGTTGTTGACTTCTAACTTTTTACGTATAGTAGAAATGTAAAGTTACATCACCTTAATACTTACATTAATACAAGATCTAGTAATGACAGAATAGACTGCTTCCTATTCTTTAAAAATAAATGTTTGATTACCTTTTATTTAATATTAACTTAAATAAACTCAATTTACGATACTGAACATATATTATATAAGGTAAGTGACTAAGAATGTTTTATAGATTTAAAAGGAGGTCAGCTTAAATTGTGTTTTTAAAAAAATATACCCTGTTACTTGATTGAACAATCAATCCTATTTTCTACCTAGTTCACCATGTAGTTTGGTATCCTTTTTTTTCATAATTACTTTTGTGTATCCTTTATTTTTTCTTTTACAAAAGTTGTAAACACAAAGGATATATTCCCAGTAAACTATAATTTCAATTTTTTGTTTTCTAAAAACAAGAGCTTTGCGCCCGTTAGTAGATAATATTAACTAATAACAAAATCAAAATAAAGAAGAAATCCAAAAAAAATGTTTTTAAACTTAAACAATGTCACCAACATAAATTAAAAATGAGAAGCCTCTCAGCCTCCCTTTGCTAAAATTTTTGTTAGAGCGCTCGGCGTTCTTTATATTTATCATGTTTGCGTTTCCTGTGATGCAGTAGCTTCAAGCTCGCAGAGCAAAAAATGAGTTACATAAGAAACTAATAAAGTTTTTGGGTATTCTTAAATTTGATAAAGTAAATGCTTTTTTAAGCAAAATATGTTTATCAAAAATAGCTCGAAGCTGCCAAAAACAAATTTGCGTAGGCGATATTAGTTAAGGCCGTGTAGAAGAGAAAAAGTTTTCATTACAAAATTTTTCTGCTGTTTTAAAAACAAAAATAATTGCTTTATTTTAATTAAAATATGTTTATAAAGAGAAATGTATACTGTTAAATTAAAATGGTTTAATCCTAAAACAAGGGGGGGGAGTATATAGCACGCTTAGCATTCAAATCTGTTAATACTGTGCAAAAAAAACTGCTAAAAAGATTTTGCTTTGCAGTTAATTACTCCTCTCCACCTAGAACTTTAGGATCTCAGTTAAATGGCTTCTTTGTTGTTGTAAATATTTTTTTATATTTTTGGGTTTTATAAATAGTTATTCCTTTTTGATTAAATCTTGCCTGCTGTGGGCTATACTGTGTCAACAAATTTTTATTATAAAATCTGTTAAGTCATCAGGTTTAGGAGTTGTAAAGTTAAAGAACTTCTTTAAGTCCATGTTAGACTTATCAACAATCTTTAGAAAAGGAGCAATTATGAATTCATTGGATAGGTAATAAATTTATTTAAATTGAAAAAAAGGAAAGGATCTCGATGCATTTTTAAAAAAATTCAGTAGCTAAAACTTTTTAGATATTACACAAAAACTAGAGCAGTTGTCTTTTAATGGAAAATTTTTTTACTTAGCCGGCTGTGAGTGATAAAAAAAGACTAAATTTCTAAAAAAAGATGACTTGAGACACCACTAGTAGTCCCTTTAAGCCAGCGTATGCCCTAGGGAAGGTTATATTTTTAAGACGAAACTACATAAACAAAATTCATATAATCAATCTTTTAATTGATGGCGTAAAATATTAATAAAAGTCGTGCTTCCAAACAAAATTGTATTGTCTCGACTACTCTAGTCTACTTTTCTAGTTGAATTTAAGAAAACGGTCACCTCAATTGAAATGCATTCACTTTAATGTTCTTTAAGATGATTTTATAAATGTGTTTAATGCCTAGGTTAACATGGAAACAACCTTACGCCGCATTTAAAAATTTTGACTCGGTACAGCCTAATGTCGGTGAGAACATTTTCAGTTGCATATTGTTAGCTATGTGCATTTTTATTAAATGAGCCCCAAATGGGGAGCCACGGATTAATATGCGCTAAATTAAAAGTTTGATTTAAAGATAGCGTATACTTAATGCGCTAGAGCCAATTATACTAATTATAATAATATGTTCATGTGAGCAGCGTTTATAAAAAACCCTAAAACGAGGTACTCAATTTTATCTGTCGGTGGTGTAGTGCGGCGTATTCAGTTTGCTCCTACCTTCTTTTTATAATATAATTAAGGTGCTATAAGAGAATCGTAATAACTAAGAGAAGTGGAGGTTTAGAATAACGATATATAAAAAACTTTTATGGTCCCAGTAAGTGGGTCCCCCTTTTTGTGCATATATCTCATGTCTAAAACAAGAGCCATTCCTTTACAAAAAACAGTGGTGGCGGTGAATCCAATTCGACAAAGCCTCGTTTATATGTATAATTTTGTTACAAAGAAAAGTTAATAAATTTTATTTTTAATTAGGAAGTGTCTTCTAAACCTAAAAAAAGGGTAACATTCGGGTATATCTTTTGCTCAAAATCATAAACCGAGCACAGAGTTTGCATCCTGTATAATTATATGCATAGCATAACTACATTTAATATGAACTTCCTGTAGTACTTAAATTTGAATAATAGAGATGATCGCTGCAGTTAGTCACTTTTAATAGATAGTTGGCCCCCTTCAATAATTCTGAAAAGTTTTACGAGATTTTCATATCCGGGCCCCTTTTTCACACTTACTTTTAGCATGCCTATGAAGAAAACCGTTAAAAAGCAGAGAACACACACTTCTAAGAAATTACTTAAATTTAGGACAAACTTTTAAGCATAATTTTACTAACGCTACGTCCCTTGACTTTTTCCATTCTAAAAATTTTATTTGTGCAATTAGAAAAGTGGTACGTTACTTGTTAGCTTTTATATATTTATTTCATTTTATTTATTATTGTCAAGTGATTATTCAATTTTAATTTTAAGTTTTGGTATTTTAAAAGTTTCATGTAATTTTACTTAGTTTTTTAAGTTTCAGTGAGTCCTAAAGTTATCTTTGTCTTTTCTTGTAGGCTGTGCGCTAAAGTGACTTCCCCAGTGTGACTTTTAACTGAAGCTCACTCTCCTTTACCAGTCTTCTATAAACTTTGTTTATAACAAAGGTTGCACAAAAAAGTTTCCCGCCATGCAGATTAGTGATTCTGAACTCTGCATACTACTTCAAAGTGTTTTAATAGATTTTTACTTTGACTTTTATATAAAAATGACCAGATTTTAAATTATATCCTCAAAGTAAGTAAAATCTTTAGCCTCGGCTTTGTTATACTTTTGTTAAGAAAAAATTATTATCTTTTTTAATTTTAAAAGTAAAGCTAAATAAGTAAAAAGTATTCTAAAAAAACTGATCTACGGATACAAAAGACCGCGTGTTTACAAATTTTTCTGGTAATCCAACTTGCAAGTGGTGGTCCGCTTTGTTTTATAAAAATATTTTTTTCATGTAAAGTTATTATTAATGACTCCTAGTTTAAAGTAGAAGTGGACTTCTTAAAGCTTATGTAAAACATAAACTACTTGTAGGTAAATATGTATAAGAAATTCAGTAAAAAGTAAAGTTTTATAAGATATATTCCCTGTGCGGAAGTTTATTGTATAACATTCATAAAATAATTTGTAGTAAAAAGTTAAGCTTATATAATTTGAAGTGTTAATATTGAAAAAAAATCGAAATTATAATCTATTTATTTATCTTTTTAAAAGTATATATTAGGATAATTAGAGTTTAAAAAGTTATATATATTTATTATCCATATGTGGTTTATAATATGAAGAAGCTTCATAATTATAAGTAAGCTCCTATAACTCTCTTTTTTTTTATCAAGTATAATAATTTATAATATATGTCAAATTTAAAAGTTTTTATAAACTTCTGACTTTACGATAAAATTTCATAAAACTTATACTAGTAGTTCTTTCAAGTTGTGTTTATTGAACACGAAGTATAGAAAATCATGTATAAAAAAATCTTTACTATTAAACTATGTTTAGGAGCAAACTTTGAATTTTTTTTTTTAAAGGGGAGCTTATAGTGAAGTGGTCTATTAATAAACTTAAGAAATATACATACCGCTAAAAATTTAACGTTGAAGGAATTTAAAGTTTTAAGAAATATTCGGAAGTGTTCTAAGAACTAGGCATATGCACTGTATTTACTATTTTTTTATAAGTCTGTGACATGTTAAATTCTTTTTTTTCTAAGTACTGTTTACTTCCCTACTTTAAAATTTTTATTTTCATTTTTATGGAAGAAAACTTAAAAGAATCAAGGATATAAAGTTTTCTCTTAGATGGTTGCCGACATGTCCAAGGACCATAGCGAAAGTAAAACATATATACTTTTCACAAGTAAATGACTTTACAGTTATCGTAGCGCTCACTCCCTCTTCAACTGTACGCTCTCCTCCAGCGAAAAGCATTTCTGCTACGGATTCTTCCTTTGCTGTCAGCAATAGAGATATTGAAGATAATAATTATCTTAACAAGTGGCATGCTGGACAAGTTAGTTCATTTTTCTGTAATAAGCAAACACCTAGCGCATCATACCAACCGGCGCTAAATCGTGAAGGGACACTTTTGCACGCTAACAAACCCATACGACCGCGTATACCTTTAAGGCACGCGTCCTTTCCAGAGAGACCAGTCATTACGACGTGTACCAATACAAGTGGTGTTTTCTCCAGCGGCCCTTTTAGAGATCCGTCAGAATGTACTAAAACTAAAAGTGGAAGTGAGGCGAATTTAAAAAGATGCGCGGAAGAAGATCCTGAAAAACTTTTTAGAGAAAAAATTGCTGAAAAGTATTTTTTCTTTTGAAAAAAGGTGAATTTACCTGTGTATATCTCACGTTTTTTTCCTGTCTAATAGAATAGGAGATAAACTTAACTCTGACGTTCAGAGTTTAAACACCTTTCAAGGCTTGCAAAGGTCGTAGCTGGTTCATATTGATAAAGCTCTATTGCCAAAATGTTTTTTAACATATTAAAGGAGGGCAATGAATTTTAGAAGCCTTACGCCCGTTCTGCTGCCATTTCACCTTTTTAAAAAAAAAAGACCCTGCACCCAACTAGCAGAAGAAGGTATGGCTTCTTTTGGAATAGCGATTTCTACCAATCTTATGCAGAATTTAATAAATTTAACTACAAATTTTTTATTTATTTTTCCTTTTAAAGACGATCGCAACTTCGAAAAAGCATGCGAGTTGGCCTACAACTGGAGCAGACAGAATTTCTATAAGTTTTCGGAATTAGTTATTGAGGAAGAGAGTGTAGGATTTTATCTGTTACACAAATTTTAATCATTTTTACCTTTTATATGATTTAAAAACTAGTGTAACCGTTATATAGACGAATACCTCTTATCGCACGCAGCTTTGCAGACTATAAAAAAAACTCAAGATGGTTTATAATATGAAGAGGAAACGGATGTAACCTTTATATATTTGTTTTTTTTTTAGTTACCCACAATATATAAAATACTTGTATTCCTTAATGAGATTCTTGCGTTTAAGACCCCGGTGCCCCTTTCGAACTTCAAAGAAAACTCGGATGGGAATAATATAGAATTCGATACCAATTATTATACTTTTATTAGTCATTATATACACTATCCCTCTAAAAAAATTGTTTTAAATTTTTTTATAGAAATTCTGTAACGCCTTAGTTAATGACTGGTTATCTTGATCCTTATACATATATAAGTTTGGTTTAAGATCTATTTAGTGTAGTTTGTATTCGAGGAATTGCTTTCTTACTGAAGTCTTCATCGCTTTTGAAAGTTTGGGTATCGACTGAACCGATTTTGCACCTGGCCCCCCTCTGTGCAAAATTGTTTCTATGTTTATATGAGATTTCATGGTCACTCAATCATAGCGGGTTTTTTAGAGCGTTTGAGTGACTATAAAAAGTAGTTTATACAGAGACCTTAATTTAATATTGCGTAAACTTTCAGTCAATAAAGAAAATGAAGTAAATTGCCTTTTAAATCATGACAAACCTTATACTGAGGTCCTCGTGAATGTGGTGTCACTAAAACCTCAATATCCCGGATTAAAGCTCATTATGATCTAAATTATCCTTGCACTAAACCTGACTGGCGACAGATCGTGAATAACCGGAATGTAGCTCGACTTGTACGTCAAGTGACATCGGGATTCGTTTGAATTTGCACAGAAAGCTATATAAAGGTCATAGAAACATAAGATAGACCAATTTCAAGATCGACCACCTCGGGAGCATTACAGTTTGCTGGTCTTTGTGCGATAAAACTTTAACTAAACTCGCTTTGACAGACCGTCACAAGCGACTAAGATTCAAGTTTGCCAAGAAATAAAAACATTGGCCCATTTCAGAACGGGGAAAAGTATTTTTTTTGGACGCGGCCAAGATCCATTGATATGTTCAAATAGTATTAAATGGTGTGGAAGCGATCTGGCGATAATCAAGTACTTCAACAGTTGGTGCAAATGTAAAACATGGAGGAGGATTATTTATGAGTTAGTCCGTATAATATCTAAGGGAGTTGAGAATTAAAAAAGAGTGACAGGGAACATGACGACAAGCACGTATTTAGACATTAAGAATGACTTACCCAGAACAATAGGGTGTTATTACCTTGATGTACTAGTTTTTCAGTAGGACAATGCTTCGTGTCACACTGCACTATCGGTGCGATCATTGCTCCATTTACAGTCGTTCCAAGTGCTAGACTGACCTCCGCAATCTCCTGATCTCAATAACATTTAGCATGCATGCATGGAAAATCTTGAAGACGGGATTGGGATCATACGAATCAGCCCCTGCTAACTTGGGCGAGCTTTGGACCCTTGTACAATTAGAATGGGAAAATCTAACGCCGTATCTATGCTACAATCTGTTTGCCAGTATGTCAAAGAGGATACAACCAGTTATTCTGGCTAATGAGCCATTCGCAATTTCGCTGTATTAATGTTCCCATTTATACTTTTAAACATGCCTGGCTTAATCTTTGAGACAAGCATTTGACTACTGGCAGGCTCAACCAAGTATCAACCATGTCGATGTCTTTAAAAAAAAAAAATAGAATAGAGTGAAAGGAAAAAGAAAAAACGAGGAAAAGTGATTATACCATTAAAACCTCGTTTACGATATTATATTTTTAAACGTGCAAAATTATTTTATAATCTCTCAGCTTTATTTTTTCGCATATTAAACCAATTTAAGATCGAGTATTACCATGTAGACAGAAAATAGAAGTTTACTGTGTATTATTTTAAAGTAGACAATTTATTGAAAAGTAAACCTATATTAAATAAAAAATACATTAGGCTGAGACAGTTTTGAACCATAGTGTATGTTGGCGTTAGTAAAATATTGAATAGTAGCTGAAAAAAGAAATACTATTTTTTTCTTCAACTTTGTGCTTTACGAACTTATATTCCTTTCTTTGCTCACTACTAGAGTTATTATCTAAATTCTGAAGTTTACAATTTTTTATAAACTTAAACTATTAGTCATATATCGAATACTACCAGCTTTTAATGGAGTGTGTGTGGAACCATTTTTACATAGACCACTCGTCGAGTCATACATATTTATGTGTGTGGGCATACTATATTAAAATGTAATTTAGTAAATTAGTAAATTTTACTCAATGCACTTTAGCTTATCTCTTTTTTTTTGTGGGGAATAAAAGTCAACTGACCATGATGGGAATAAAACAAGGATTAAATAAATTACATGTTAGAGTAGCACAATAAGTAGCACTTTAGTAAAGGTAGGGTCTGGCACAAGTGAATGACATTGTACTTTGTACCAACGGCATCCTTCAAGCAAAGTATATTTTCTACTTGGAAGTTAAGTGCTTTAGTTATTTTTAATAACAGTATGCAAATTATATAATAACTTTCAATAGCCGTTCATTTTTAACATTTTTTGAAACCGGAAAGGGTAAACTGTTTCTTCTAAGCTATTCACAACTTCGACTACGAGCCAATATTTTATTATTATTATTATTACCTGACTTACTACGCTTAATCTGATCTAAATGCGCACGAATGTACATTTCTATAGAAGACCAGAAAATAGATCGGCTATAACATTTAAATTTTCGCGTATACAAACTTTATACCAGCCCTTCTTATCAAAAAGCCCCAAAAGATTCTTTAAACCTGTTCTTTCCAATTTTTAAATAGTGTACGCGAGGAAACTAGCGAAATATTCGAGTAAAAAGTTAAATCTTCTCTGCAGTTGCTTCGAAAACAATTGGAGCCGTGTAGTGCTGTATAGTACTTTTGTAAATTGAGTATATTCGGAAAAAGGTGTTTTACTATTCTGTAACAGTTTTCAACAATAAATATTTATTAGATAGTTTTTTCGAATAAATTTGCTGCCTATTTAGTTTGTAAAAAAATTGTTAATAAAGTAATTTTTATATTTTTAAATAATAAAATGTTTTTGCAAGGCTTCATATATTCAAATCAATTCCTTAATTTTTTTTATTACCTGGGTTTAATTTTATAGTAAGGTCGTCTACTGGTAAAGTAGTTGACTGTTACGGTGTAGGAATTTTTGTCTTCTATTATTTATTATTAAAAGTATATGTATTGCTTTTTGGTTTATAATATTTCTTCCTTCCCTTTTTTACTGCTGTGATATAGCTTATTACTGTCACGGGAAATAGTTTTTTTTTTTTTAATAACCTTATGACTTTCTGTTTGCTTTTTTTTTTCTTTCAAGACCGAGCTTGTCGGCGTAAAATTAAAAAAGTTGGCCGTTGAGATTATCGATATACGGCAGTTAGAGGGCGGATGCACTTAGTTAAGGCCCTTCTCTAAAACAACTGAAAAATATACAACAAGGGCGTATCGATCTGAGGGAATAGTGTCTTGCTAGGGTGACTTGTAAGCTGCAGATACCGATACGGGCTCCTGGCTGGTTAAATGGAGAATAACATTAGCCGCCTCAATTCTTTGTAGGGCTGGCAAAGATAACACACCGCTTTTAAACAATTTAAAAAATCATTGTTTTAATAATAATTATTCACTTTAGCATTCCCTCATTTTTTTTCTATTTAAATTTATCTAATACCTTATATTTATCTGCACAGGTGTAGCATTTTTACATAATAAAGCTGATGATAAATTTAGTTTTCTAATTTAACCTGTAGATTTTATTGTAACCTTAAATTAGGCCAAATATGCAGCATCTATCTTTGTAATAATTAGAAACTTCAAATAAAAAAAAGTTGCACAATTATTTATTAATTATGTTCAAACAAGGGTTCACGCTTCATTTTCTATATAAAGTTTTCACTGCTAAGATTAGTAATAGCGTTGCGCAGTGAAATTTCTAAAAATTAATTTTATTGTAAACGTTTGCTTTTTAAATAAAAAGTCGTAGCAGCGCTTACTATCAAAAAAGTTTTCGTGCAGTAAAGAATGCAAATTTCTAATAAAAAAGTATTAGTAGAAGTTGTAAATCAAAACTTCGTTGACTCCTTTAAAGCAAAAATATATTTTTTTAATTTCGGCTCTTAAGTATTTTATTATTTATTAAAGGTTATGTAATAATTATTTTAATTGTATATAAAACTCAATGGCGAATCAATTATAAAAAAATATTTACAATGCCCGCTAGCATAATTAATAAGTCCTTATAATTTCTTTTTTTCCAAAAAAAAGTTTTATAAAAATTTTTTTTTTATTTAAGCAAGTTATAATCTACGTAAAAAGGATTCGTTCAACGTGGTCCGTTTTTCTGTTTGTATTTTTAATGAATCCCATATAATGAAGTTCGGTGACGGCCTCCATAAAATAAACGCTTAAATAAGCAGAAAATAATTTAATTTGGTAGGACTAAATAAATAAAAGTAGCTAAACTGTAACTCATTTCTTCTTTCAGTATTTATAGTGACATCCAAGTTAGGTTCAATTAATTCACAGAATGAAGTAAAAAGATCGTATAAGTTTATAAGCCTGAACGTTTTTTTTATGTATAATAATACATTACTGTTAATACTTATATTTTTTTAAGTAAAAATAGTATGAAAAAAAAAAAACAATACAATAATGATAATTATTCAAAAAAAACTAATACTTCCCGCAGTTTAGGTATATTTTGTAAACCACGCAAATGTAGGGGCTCGACCTGCATTATAAGCAATTTTTTAATGAAAAAAAAGATAGTTCTTCATAAAATAAATTTTAATAAAGAAGAAATAATGAAAGTTTTATCTATTAATTTTTATTAGTAATAATAGTAATAAATAAAATTAAGCACCAATAAAAAAACGAAATAACTTTACAAGCCCAATAAAAAAAATTTCTACAATTATAATAATTGTTTTATATATTACAGAAATAACTCTCTTTCAAAAAAGGTCAACAAGAAATTCAAGAAAAAATTTCCATATGTTTAGTTTAATATTTAAAGGTTTAAATATTGTGATAAACATTAAACGCATAAAGCAATTTCACCCCTTAAAAAATTAAAAAAGCAAAAAAAAAACTTTTATTGGTATATATAATAATTTAATATAGTTTCATAATTTATTTATATAGAACCCTTTTCGTAATTTTTATTAATATAAATATAAAACATATTTAAAACTAAAATTTATAGGAAATATTTTATTAAAAATTAATATTTATATTTTTTTTGAAATTGATAGTATAAAGAAAATAAAGAATTATAATTAATAAAGAATTCATTTATTTATTTCAGTAATAATGATAATGATTTAGTACTAATATTATTAATAATAATAATAATTATAATATAAATATGAATAAAAGTAGTAATTATAATAATATTAATAATGATAGTAATAATAATGATAATGAAACCTTGCGAATTCGTATAGCGACTCTGTAACTTTTTTAGAATCCAAACGCATATTATACTCCTCCGGATTGGCCAGAGCATTCTGTTGAGTAAAAATCTGCGCAAGAAAAAGATACATAAATAAAAATACACCAACCTGTAACCGGCTTATATACGAGCCTCCAGTCTCCTTTTTTAACGAGCTGATATCAGTACAGTAAAAAAGTTCAGATAAAGGAAGTTCACTGGGTTTTTTAAAGGCTTTCCTACCACCAATGAAAACCTTTAAAAATTAATACAAAAATAAAAATATTCATTCATATAAATAAATTCTCAGGACATGTCATAAATGGTAAATGTGTTTTTTTTATAAAAAAAATAATAAGTTACTCAAAAAATGAATGAAATATAGATATAATTTCTTCTTTAAATATTTCATAATTCGTTCGATATCTGCAAATAATAAAAAAATATATAAAAAAATAATTATAAAAATAATTTTACTGGGAAAAAATAATAATAATTAAAATAGCAATAGTAATAATAGCAAAACTAATAATAATAGTAATAATTACTATATAACAGCAATAAGCAATTCATCCTAAAAATTGTGTAAAATTATATTTAACTGCTTTGGCTAATAAATAATATTTTTAGCCGATAATATTAGAGATGACTTAATATAATAATATTAATATTAATATTAATAATATTTATTTATTATTTTATAATTAATCTTATTGCAATTTTTTTATATTCTTTTTACAACTTTAATATATTATTATAAAGTATTAATAAAAATAATGAAGTATAATTAATTTAATGGTAATATTAAATTCATTCAATAGTTCAAATTTTTTCAACCGCAAAGTTCCAGCGAGATTAGAATGCTTGGCTTCTTCAGTATTCGTTAAAAGTCTTGCGATCCGTTTTTTCTTTGCTAAACTCCTAAAATACCAATTTTATTAGTAATAACTTTATAATATTAATAAGCTTATAAATAATAATAATAAAAATAGTAATTTAGATAATAAAAAAATAACAACCAACCAGGACTCTGTATTCAAGTTCTGGAAAGCCGTTATAGTGCTGTTACTCACGTGACTTCGGGTCAATATTTTTCGATGGTCCACATGCTCAACGGACTTCTCTCCCTCTACGACGCGTGGCCCGTCGCCAAGCTCAGATACAATAAGTTTTCTAGCGAAAAAAAATTAAGTGCAGCATTCATTTTTATACTTTTTTTTTTTAATATTATGAACACTATTATAAACGTTATCAAAAAATTTAATTTTTTAATAATATTTTTATAAATTTCAAATCTTTTATATTTTTATATATTAATACTTTTCCACATTAAAAAAGTTTTCTGGACATTCATCTTCTTTTCCTTCGTAAATCATATTTTCAAGTACTTTGCAAGCTGCCTTCAAGCTGAGCATAAAACTTTTCACGTCCTCTACGTTGGGCCGTAACCATTGAGAAAATTCTTCAGAAATATTTTCAGTGTCTGTCCAGGTGGGCGGTATAAAGGGATACGACTTGATATGAGTGGAACAAATATTGAGATAATTTAAAAGTTCTTCACTTTCCACAGTTTTTCTGTAAATATTAAAAAGTTTTTATTAAAGTCTATTTAAAAATGTTGTGCAAAAGAATTGTTTATAATATTCATAAAAAATAGTAAAAAATTTTCAACTCTCCATTACTATTATCCTTATTGTTGTTGTTTTTTTCTTTTTTTTATATTCAATGAACTTATTATAAATATGAATACAAGTAAGTAAAAATAAAAATATAAAAAAAATATAAAAAAGAGGATAACAAAAAATAATAACACACTTAAAAAAAATTAACTAAAAGTAAATATAAAGTACAACTTTTCTAGTAAAAATTCTTTTTCTAACATAAAAATATTGCAAAGTTTATAAATTTTAAAGTATAAATATAATTAAAAATATTTATAATAATAATAATAAACCTCCAAGATAATAATAGTTCATTATAAGTTTTACTCGATATTATGGAATGCTGCAAACTGTACAAATATATATCAGATATGGAGTTTCCGAACTCACATGCACTGACTTTAAGCATATTTATGAGCTTAAATAATAATAATAAGAATAAATAATAAAATAATTTAAATAATAATAAAACTTCTGCAAAGAACTTGAAAGCAATAAACTTTTTATAATGATAGGTATCGATATCTAAAAATAAATATAAAAGAAAACAATAAAAAGTTATTGTTTTCTATTAAGGCAAAAAGCGTTACCTGCTAACAATTTTCTTATTAAAAGTTTCAAAACGTAGTCGTTGTCCAATAAGAGCAGCTGAAGTTTGGGTTCATTTTTTAGTTCTCTTTCAAAATAACTAGAGAGAATATATAATAATGATAGTAATAGTAATTATAATAATATAAAAAGTTAACAGGCGAAAGGAAAACAGAGAGCGTAGTTGTTCACAATAGCGATGAGGCAAAGTAGTTAAAAAAGTACTGCCAATTTCTTTACTACAGAAAAAACCGAGTTTTGCATTCATTATAAAGTCTGTAAGCATATACTGAAAATAATAACAATAGTACTAATAATAATAACGATAATAACGAAAGTTTACTTTGTAACTTTCGGTAAAAGTAGAAAAACAAAGTTCGTAAGAAGTGAAGCGATCAAGCAGATAAGCAAAAGAGCTGGAATGAAGGAAAAAGCGATATGCCGGATTGATACACACTTTCTCAATAATATCGTCCAAATAAACGTGCGGGGGCTATATATAGATACAAAGGTACCTAATTAGTGGTAAAAAGCAACATTGTATTTTTACTTCTCATGAATTGTTATTATTACTATTATTATTATAATAATAATAATTATTATTATTATTATTATTTGTAAGGAATTATTATTATTATTAAGAATAACTTTATAAAAATATATATAAATTAATTAAAAAAAATTAAAAATAATAATAACGTGAAGGCCGAACTTTTCCGTAGCAAGCAAGGAAAGAATATGCCCTAAAAATCGTTAAAAGTAAGATTTGAAAAAAGCAAATTTAAATTTTATAGAATCAACTTTTTTTTTTAGAAGTATAATTCGTATATATTATTAATAATAACATTAATATTATTATGATAAATACCAGGATACTTCTGAACCACATTTTGTAGCAAAGGAACATTAAATACGAAAACAAATTTGACATCCGGTTGCATTATACTAATGATTTCAAAAAAATAAAAATTATAATAAATAATAATAAATATTTTTTAAAAAATTAAAAAAAAAATTGAAACCTGCACTGCGTTAGGAATTCACAAACGGCCTGCACACTAAAAGTTTGCAAATCTTCAAATAGAATAACGATAGGAATAACGTTTTTGGCTTCGAAGTATCGCTTTTTATACCTAAAAATTTCAAATTTTCATTAATTATAAAAAAAATACTTAGATTTAAATATTTTATGTAAAATTAAATTATTAAAAAATAATATTATTTAATAAGTTAAATTAAAAATAAAAAAATAACTAATAAATTTTCATAAAAAATATAAAGATTTTTATTATAATAATAATTTTTTAAAATAAATGATATAATCGATAGAGAATTTAAATTTTAAATTACAAAATATAAAAATTTAAATTAAAAAATATATAAAATTAATTTAGTTTAAAATAATTGAAAATAAATACAAAAATTTTATATTTATAATAATCTAAATTAAAAATGATTACCAAGATGATAAGTAATTAATTTCTCGTTTACTAGCTTTTAAGTCGTACTGAAATTCCTTTTCATGCTTTAAAATTTTTTAAATAAGCAGTAAATTAAAATAAATTAAAGATTTTTTGGATGAAATAATGATAAAATGACCATTTAAAAAGGTTTTGAGTTTTTTATTTAAAATTATTAATAATAAAATTGAGGCTAAAAAAAATTAATAATTAAATAAAAATATTAAAATTTATATAACCTACTTGTAAAATCTATAAAACTTTTCTGAAGAAATTATAAGAGTACTTTTTACTTATTAATAACTTCTTATTAACTTTTTAGTGAGAATATTAATTTTTATAAGTTATGATTAAAAATTAAAAAAGGTGCAATAAGTTATAATAGAAATTCAAGATTGTTAGAAATAAGTTTAATAAGTGGATTACAAATTATAGAAGATAATCAAAGTATAAAAAAAAATAAAAAACTGTTATATTTATATAATTTACTTCGCAGGCTAAAACTTGTAAAAGAACATTTCTCACGATGGCCGTTAACGAAGGATTTTCACTACTAATAAGCCTTACCAAATGCAAATGCTCGTGGTTCTTATTTTTAAAATTATGCAAAAGTAAAAAATAATATTTAACGTAATCAAAATAACTTATATGATTATTTAAAAAAAAAATTTAAATAAAAAACCTTAAGATAATCACACAAAAGGGTGAGAATCAATTTATGATCAACTAAATTAAGCCCTAAAGCGAGTTTTTTTTTAAAAAATCTTTAAGAAAAAAAAGATGAATAAAAGTACCAGTAGAAAGGATGACGGTTGGAATTTCCTGTTTTGGAAGTTCCAAAAAACGGCTACTTTCATCGCTTTGAAAAATAAATTCTTTTATTTTCTCAAAAATTTTTAAATTCAAGTTCATTAAGGAATCCTTTCATGTTGAATTTTGAATTTATTATCACTCAGAAATCAAACAAACTAATAAAAAAAAGAAACCGAAATTGTCTTCTCAAAGTTTTCTTTAATTTCATTATACGCTTCGTAACGGCCCTTTGCGTACTCGTCGTCGTCATCTTCAAATCCAAAATATTTATAAATTTCTAAAATTTTTATTTTGAAATTATAAGAGCGCCTGAAAAAAAAAAATAATCTTCTCCTTGGCTTTATTACCATCTGCATAACCAGCAGTAGGTGGAGAATAAAAACTAAATTTTACAATTCGTTCTTGTTCAGATAATTCTTTATATTCGTCATACATACTCTTTCTCACTCACAAATAGTCTTAATAAAAAACTTTTTTTTTATTTAAAGGGTTGGAGGTATACAAAAAGCAGCCTTAATACATCTGTATCAACATTTTATTTTTCTATTAGAAAGGCTAGCAAACCTTTACATATTAATAATAGATATTATCTAGTAAAAGTTTATTTAGCGACTGGGGGCTCCTCCCTTCATGGTGAGAGCTCATGATCGGAAAGGCCTGCATGGCAGAGGTGCTTGCCGGTGTTTCCAGGTGACCTCGGGTCTTGTACCCAAGGCCGCCTCTCACGGTGGTGGTTTTAAGTAGTTTTCTGCCATACTAAGCCAAAGGGCGAGTGTCCGGCCCCGATATTTTCCGCTTTTTCAGTCCTTCGGACAGTCATTGTAGCTCTATAAAGAGCGTACACTGGTGGGCACTCGTGCCTCAACCCCTGCGGAAGAGGGGAATTCAAATTAAGCGTTTTGAGATCTGAAGAAAACTGGCAGTGGTGTGCCTGTGCTAAAAAATAGTTTATAACGTGAATTATATATATATTCTCTTTGAGTTGGAAAAAAATTATCAGATAAACTTTTTATAATATATTATAAAAAGCTAAAAATATAGTAATAAATATATATACCGTTTTTTAATAAGTAAAAAAAATATCTCTTCTTTAAAATCCTTTTTTCTTAAATAAATATAAGTGAAGAACGTTTAAATAGCTTTATATTGTTCAGTGAGAAAACGTTAAAAATATCATTTTTAATAACTTTTACATAAATCGTCAACAGTTATGACTTGTTCTTAAGAACTATTTTTATCATTTTCTTTAAGCGAATTTAATATAATTAGTTTATTTACACCTAAAGCTGCTTATTTTAGTTTTATTACTTAAACTTAATATAAGTTATGCTTCGTTTTTCTTAATTTTATAATTATCAACTTGTTATTAAACTTTTATATTAAATTAACTCGATACTAAATCAACGTAACTTATATATAGCATCCTAGATTAATATAGTTTCCAAATTATTTTTTATTATTATTGAAGTTGAACTGCAAATTTGTAACTTCATTGTAATAGAAAAATTTAATTTTCTTAAATTTTAAATAAATTGAATTTTAAAGTGCTGTAGTGTTTTTAATCTACTGTTTATAATATTATATTCTTAAGGAAAAAGTCATTATAATTCTTGTAAATCTTGTAGAGATGGTTTCAATGAAATGTAAAAAAAAACTAACTTTAAAAAATTTATATTTTATGTCATTAATATACTTTACTGTAAATTCTGTTAAAGTTTTGTTAAATAACTTTTTCCTATACTTTACTTATGTGCCTTATAAAAGTAATATTAATAACAAAAGTCTTCTTTTAGGTTAAAAACAAAATATTTTTATATTTAGTGGTTCTTGTTTAGAACAAATTCGTATTGATTTATACAATCTAAATAAATACTTTTTGCCAATACTAAATACTATTATAACAGCTAATTATTATTATATATAATTTTATGTTCCGTAAATTCTAAATAAAAGAGAAAACTTAAATGTGTCTGTTTATAATACTCTTTGTATTTATAAAACATAGATACATAATTACTTTCTTTTCAGCTTATATTTATTTTTTATTTCTATTTCTTTTCTTTATAAAATTATTAAAAGTTCGTAAGTACTAATTAAAAAAGTTTAAGTTTGTACTTATTACTAAATTCATTCATTTCTTTTATTATCGCAAATTAACTTTTTATTTCTTCCAACTTATCGCATTTTTACTTTTTAAAATTTTTACTACCTATATAGTAAACGTTCCTATTTTAAAACCCTTACATTTATTATTTTTTATTCTTACAACAGTATAAATTATATACAATATTAGGAAATTGCAAGTATAATAAGAAAAAAAAAATAATTACTTTAAAAAAAAAACTTTTATTGCCACTTAACATGGACAAGTTGGTTGTAAATTAAAACTAACCAAAAATATACTGAACAATATTTGCATTTATTAGCTTTTAAACAGGCATAAATATACAAATTAGTAAGCCTTGTAATTATAAAGACATCCTCTTATAACTTGTAATTTTCTGCTATAAATAATTTTTTAATCAGTATATTGATTATATCATTAACCTTTAAATATCATTGTAATTTATTTTTCTCTTTCAAGTTCTTGTTTTATGAAGATTCGAAAAGCTCCGCACTTTATAATATAGTCCATAATTTCGAGAGCTGCTTTCAGATGGGCCATAAAATATTTAAAATATGTAATCAGTTCCTCGAGATCAACACCTTCAGTAATTTCGGTATCAAAATTTCTAGTTTATAAACATATTTAGTCAAAACATTATAGAAGGTTTAACCTTCCATTTCCGCATATTAAAATAACTTTTAGAGATAAATATATTTTTTTTACAATTATTATTTTCTATAAAAAATCTACAACTGTTAATAATAAAATTTACTATAATAAATGGCTAGTTAATTCCTATAAACGTTAGATACCTGGGACACTCAAGTCTTTTACAAATTTATGTATCTTTAATATATTATTATAATATATATTAATGTCATATTGTTTTATATTTAAGAATGTTTTTTAAAGCATTATTATGTGCAAATAAAGCTTTAAGCTAAACACACTTGTTACGTCTTCTGGCCTCTCCCACTTGCAACAGTAAATGGCCGTAGAAATACTCAAACCCTCTTTTGCATAAGTTTGCTACTTCTTTATTTAGAGTTATTAATCCGGGCGGATCCTTCAGGATGAATCTTTTCATTAATCGATTCGCCTATCATTTAGTAAGAATGAATTATTACTAACCTGAGCAAACAAACTTTTTTTATGCATACTGCACCGCCTTCGCTGCTTCTTGAAGCGTCTTCAGTGAATATTTTTCAGAACACAGAAAAGAGTAAGCCTTCTTATAATCGAGCGCTTGCTCGTAAAAATACAAATTCTCTTCTTCGTGGTTCTGGATCATAAAGGCTAGAAAGCGGGATCGAAGAAATTCATTATCCATGTAAAACCAAAAAAGTTCTTCGATGGTTAACCTTTTTTTTTAATGAAGGGAAGCAGACATAAATAAAACTATAAACAGGTGGTAACATTTTTACTAAAACTTTACCTATTTCGCTTTTTAAATGGGAAACAATAACTGCACATCCTTCGAAACATTAGTATTACAAAATAATGGGTAGCAATGATAAAAAATTGTATAAAACGGTATTACAATGAATTTTAATGAATTCTACGTCTCTACAGTTATTTCCCTTATATACTAAAAGGCCTTAAACAAAAGATTTTTTTTATTCTGAAACTTCAAGTGAAAAAAAAAAGCTTATAATTTCCGACCAAGTTCGTTATAATGAGTTTAATAATAAAGTTGTGGTGTCACTTTATATATAGAATTTATGGTAGAATTTATGGTACATATAATATTACAGATGCTTTCAGTTTCTTAAGTCATCTGTTGCTTAAATTTTTATATAAGGGACTTACTAAAAATAAAATCATACTAGCTTTGGTTATTGGTAATATCTAAAGTTACATTCCCCCTCTAATGGCAAACGTTAAACTTAAATAAACACTATTTCTCCTTTTTAAAAAAAAAATTTCGTAAAATAAACCATTTATAAAAGTTTTTAAACAAATTTATATTATAAAAATGATTGAGACTATACAAAAAGGGGAGTTATATTTTTTTGTTAAAATTAAATAATTGACATATAAATTTATGATGACGCAACTAAAGGGCTACTTAATCTTAACGTCTCACTTTTAAAAGTCGTTATCTGCATTATTCGTCCATAAAAAAGGAAAGGCCTCATTTAGTTATGAGCTATATATATTTCATATAGTTGACTCTGTGCTCTTAAAAATTATAGTCGGTTGTTATAGGTTCTATGATAATATTTTATAAATCCATTAAGCTTTTGCTATTGTCACAGTATAAATTAAATAGTTTTCTTAAATTATACAAAGAAGGGTTTACACACAATTTTTTCTTGGCAGTAAACGCCCATTTAAAAATAAATTTAAAGAGGTAACGCATCTTATATTTTTATTAAACACAGTGTACGCTCGTATGTGAGAATATTTAGTAATAATTTCAAAATTTTCAAGACGGATACTTAAAGCTAATACTCTTTATACCAAGCCGTACTATAAATCCTTCACCTCCTGCTCGATTCTTACATGATAAATGTTTAACTTGTGGTATAAAAACTGCTAAGCTTAGTAGTGATCATAAATTTGATGGAAGCAATTTAGAAGAACTAGAGATTAAAGACTTCTGACTTATTCCTCGTTTTATTTAAATTGAGGGGAGAAAGCTCTGAGGTAAAATCGGTGAAAACAAGCGTCTCACAGTATCCTTCCTTTTATTTTTGTTGAAAAAGTACCCTATTAGTAACGTTTCTTAAATAAAGGACCTATGAGAAAGCATCCTTAAAGAAACCACCATTAATAAAACCATTAGTTTATTAAACCTGGTAAACACTAACAAGCTAAGCAACGAACATAAAATTAATAAAATTCTTTCTTTTTAGATTTAATTTTTTATTATATTTATACTTTTTCTTTTGGCATTGGCATATTTTCTTTCTTATATGTTCGGGACTTGTAAGAAACTCAAAACTCATGGTCTGAACGCAGATTAGTCTTATAAAGTAACTTTCATTAAACTAAAAAAAAATTTGAACAACCTTTATAGAAACTAATAATTTAAAATTTTTTATGTAATAATTAGTAATTAATTTGAATTAGCAATATTTAAAAACAATATTATAAATTAATTATTTAGAATAATACAGACATTACAGTTAGGGATATGTATACTATAATAGTTTATATAATGTAGTGTTTGAAGTTAAGTTAAGGAGCTCTTTTGTAATATAATTGTGGTAAAAGTTACTTTTATTAAAAATTTTTGAAAAATTTGCGCAGCAGTTGTGCGTTTGAGAAGCAAATATTACTTTTGTTTTCGGAGTTAAGACCTTATATTGCCCTAATGAAACCTTTTTCATTTTTTATATAATTTATCCCTTTCCTGAACTTAAGCTCTTTAGATTCAAATTTAAACACATAAAAAAGAGTTTAAAATTAATATAAGATATTGTTGATTAGTTTCTGCTGTATTTAAACTCCCAGCAAACGCCAATATTATCTTTAGCAGCTTGTGTTAATTTATATCCTCTATTATTTAACCAAGCTGCAAGTTTTTTAAAATAAACTCTTAAAATAATCATGAAACTTCGTAAATCATACGTTTTAATTTTTAATATCGTAACTAACATTGGAAAATTGTTAATGTTTTCTTTTTTACAAAATGCGAAGTAAATACTATGTAATATTGTGAACTTTCCAGTAATTGGTAAGCCTCCGCCGTTAACTCTAAAAGACTTCCATTCGAGGGGATTTCATCTAACGCAGATCGCTAGAAGCGTACGACGATCGCCACACCCCCTGCGCTCTCCACTAAAAATAAACGGATTTGAAAAATGCGACTTCTTTTGGACATTTGAAGTGTGGCATAAATTTAAAAAATCGCATAAGTGTAATTGGTTCATTTAATGCAGAGAATTTTGTATTAAACTTTGTAATTGCCAGGTGGTTAAAGCTACCACAGGTGAAGTTTTCATTGTTATTATCGAATGCTATTGTTACATGTAAAATATACTATGAGGGTTGTTCAAATCGCAGCAACAATACATAGAAAAGTGGGTGAACACGTGTATGGCTATATTTTTTAACGTGCTCTGGCCAGTTTGCCTGCCGGTAGTGCTTTTGGGGGAAGTAAAAGTTAAATAAATACGTTTCTCATTTTTTTTAATTACTTTTGTTATAAGTATATTATTTCCTGCAATATGCCAGTTCTCGGAGCTAATAATTTGTGAAATTAACTAAATTTTTTGTAATTAATAAGGGGATCTTAGTAAATAATAAACGTTCTCGAAAAAGTTTTAATAAAGCATTGAAGTTGCCAAATATTTTTGTGAAAAATTTTGCAAAATTAAGAACGAAGTAATTTTTTTTTTACCTTTTAAATAGTATAGTAATATATATGGGAGAAAATTACTTAGAATTTTAAAGCTTGAGTTCACATTTATCTAAAAAAATAGAGCAAAGAAAATTTTTCCTTTTCTTTTAATTTGTTTTAAATTACTTTTTACTGACTTTTTAGAAAAGATGATTGAAAGCTACCTTTCTAAATGTTAAATCTTGACCCGGCCGCGTTTGTTGCAATTTTAGTTCAATTTCTCTTACTGTAACAGAAATGGAACAAAGACACTACCAGTTTACTTAATAAAAGTTTCTTTTTATTGAGTATAAATACTATCCAAAGTTATTAAAAAAAACCACTTTTTTCAAAAACTGCTTTTATAATTTTTTAAAGAAAAACTATTAAATTTAAGTTATTTCCATAAAAAAATATGTTGTATGCGTAGAAGAAAAGAGGACTTTATTAAAGTTGTGCAGGATCTAGAATTTCCTTAAGCAGTTCAAAGAAACTATACTTAATTTCGTAAAGTGTATTTAATTGAAAATAATGATAATAAAAAAGTTTGGTCATATAAAATTAATAAATATTTTAAGTTTAAATTGAAACAAACAAGAAGCATATAGGCACTTCACAACTAATGAGTCAAGTCTTACCACATGTAAAGACAGAAGGATCTTTTTGATTTTACTGGCCGTCTTCTTGTGCCGATAATTCCTTTCAATTTTTTTCCTTAGAACTTATGCTCTTTTTTTTTTTTGCACGAGAACAAAGATTTCAGCAATAACATTTAAATATTTTGACTTTAGTATTTTCGATATAATATCTATTAAAAAAATTAGATATTTTTATAAGAATCTTAGTATCTTTCAAAATGTCTCAAAAGCGCAGAATTGAGTTGAATGATTTACATAATAAAAAGGCTTCTAGCATTAATCCTTTAACGGGTAATTTAGTAGCTTTTAATTTTATTAAGAGAGTATCAGATTTGAATATGGTTATATATATATATATTTTTCAAATCGCTTACAGGGTTGCCCTTTAGGCAAAAATACTATGAGCTTTTAGAAAAAAGAATGGCATTGCCTGTTTGGAAACAAAAAGATGAGTTTATAAAGAAATTTAAAGACAATCAATGCCTTGTGCTGGTTGGAGAAACTGGAAGCGGGAAAACTACTCAGATTACTCAATGGTGCATTGATCTTAATCCTTTGTACAGGTGGTCATCTTAATGCTATCTTTTTTATGGATTAGCTAACAAATTATTATAAATAAATTATAGCTGTATTTAATATGCCCTATATATTATATATTTTAGTTTTCTTATTTATATTAATTATACATACTTTTATTTTCCTTACAGTAAGTGATAGTTTTTATTAGTATTATTAAACATACTTATGTTATTATAATTTATAGTGGTTTTCATCTTTATTTATATTATATATGATATTAATTTTAATTTATTAAACTTATTATTAGATATATAAAGGTTATAAATATTATATACTTATTTTTCATTCTTTTGATTTTTTGTAATAATAGTTATAATAAAATGTTAATAATTTTTATTGCATACAATTTTTTTTGCCCATAATAATTTTGTAGAGGAAAAGGGATGATTGCCTGCACGCAACCACGACGCGTGGCGGCCATGTCTGTAGCAGCACGTGTTGCTGAGGAAATGGACGTCAAGCTTGGCGAAGAAGTTGGTTATAGCATTCGCTTTGAGGATTGTACTTCTTCAAAAACTAAACTCAAATATTGCACTGATGGTTATTTTTATATAATAATAATAATAATTATATTGAAGAAGTTATTTTAATTTAGAAAAGTATTAAAAAATTATTTAACTATTAAAAATTTAAAAATTGAGAATCGGTTACACTCGTTTTATCATTTTATTATTGTATAATGATTATATTTTCCAAAGGCTATAACTAATATAGTGTAAGTAATACTATACACCGAAAATTTAAAATAAGTAGAATTATATATTTATTATATTTATTAACAGTTTATTATTATTACTTGAAATAAAAGATTTAAGAATTATTTGCTTTACAAACTTTTTATTAGTAATAGTTGATTATAAATTTTTTATTGTTTTTTATAGTATATTCTTTTGTTTTACTCCTTATGTTATTATTATCTATTATTTTTTAATTATTATTAATACAAGTTTATTTTTATTACAATAAATATATTATTAAGTCCTTTATTATTGTTATCTTTTACTTTTTAGTTATTACTATTTTTTCTAATTATGATTATACATAAATAGTTAGTATTATAATACGTATAAATTTTTTATTACAACAATTATTATGCAAGTCTTTTATTATTATTATTTTAGTTATAATATTTATTATAATTATTCTACATAAATAGTTATTATTATTCTTTTATTACTTATATTACATAAAATGATTATTATTATGGAAGTCACTAATTGTTATTATTTATTAATTTTAGTAATTATTATTTATTATTATTTACTATTTAGTTATTATATAAATGGTAATTATTATTTAAATAAAATTTTTTAGTTTTATTTTTTTATTTTTTGCTTTAATAAGATCATTATTGTTCCAAGCAGAAATATATTTTTTACAATTATTATTTATAATCAACTTTAGTTTTCAATATTTTAAAGAATTAAATTGTTCTAAAAAATTAAGAAAAAAAAAAATTACTAAACTGGTGTTTTTTTGTTTTTGTTTGATACATATTAATAAATTGTAGCTATTAAACTATACAGGCATTTTATATTGTTTTTATTGTTTAAAAATTTTTTTATCTTTATTAATGTTTTTTTAGTTAGTATTCTTTATTTTACTATAAATCGAGTGGAATAAATTTAAAAAGAAAGGTTTAGCCAGAAAAAAAATAATAGAGAAAAAAGTTATCAAGAATTTATAACAGTATTGAATAACTTTTTGGCAAGGAAACTCACTCACTCAGTAGAAATTAAAAATACTAATTTTATTATCTGGTTCAGTAATAATTATAAATTTGGACATTTTTGTTAAATTTGTGCAAGTTATTAGGAGAAGCAATTTACTATTTTTTTGCTTATTTGGTTCGATATGTGAGGCGAATTGAATATTATAGTTAAAACTGTACCCTTATTAAAGACGTAGCTTTGCTTGTTGGTTAATTTGTTTAAATTGTTCTTTTTTAATTATACTGGAAATTATATTGCTAACTTTTATTATTAAATGCGACAAATTTGTGTTATTTTCCTGAATTTTGTAAAATAATTTGTAATATGGAAGCAATTTAATTTAAGTTAAAAGCAAAATTGGATTTTTTATTATTTGTTGTTTGATGCTAATTAGATACAAAATAACTGTTTTTATTTTAATCGGTTCGATTGATAGGCATAACTGAACATTTTTATCTGAGTTGCATACATTTTTACTTAATAATGCGCCAGTTTTAAATATAAACAACCTTTATTTGGCTTTTTTGCTATTAAATTTTTTATTTATTATATTTTATGTTTTACGCTCATTTTTATGAGAAATTTCTGCTCTACGACTATTTTAATATATTTATAATTATGTATTATATAAATAATAACTATTTCATAACTTTTGTATGTAATAATTCATATATTTTATATATTTTTCTAATATAAATTTTCTAATACTAGTTTAGTAATGTAATTTTTTTTATAGCAATGTAAATAAAATTTTTAGTCGCGTATATTTATAATATACATAGAAAACTATTAATTTATAAAAAGTATAATCTATTGTCTAATATAATTTTAAAAATAATTATATATATAAAATTTTAAGAAATAATAACAATAATTAGTAATACGTTAAAAAAAATTATAAAAAATATAAATTATAACTTTTTATAAATTAAAAGAATATCTATACTTATTTGTCTTATTAAATAAAAATTTATTGATGATTATAAATAATTTATTAGTTAATAAAGAAGTATAATATATTTTATTTAAATTTAATTCTGTGTATTATCGACTCATTTTTAATAGTTATAATTTTTCTATTTTTTAATAACTTATCGACTTTCTTATATTGTTTTTATCATTAATTTGATTAAATTATAATTATAGCATTATTAACGAATGAATTTTACTGTAAACTGTTATTTTTTTACTTTTAGGGGTTGGACTTACATTTTATGTGTAATGAATATTAATATAATCATATTACTTAATTTTATTTAAATAATTAAATGTTTAATAACTTTTATATTTTTTTAAGTTAATTTCTTATGAATTACTTTATTATTATTTTTTAAGTTTATATTATTATTATTGTTATTAATTAATGAATTTGTTTGGGTAGAAAGAAGGTTTTATTTTTTTTTTTCTGATATTAAAAATTTAACAATTTTTATTTATATTTTACTATTTATTAAGAATATAATAAATTTAAAGGAAATATTTAAAACACTTCAAAAAAATTAAAATTTTTAATAAAAAACCAGTAATGCAATATTAAATATAATTATTAACAATTTTTAAACATGATTGGATGATAAAATTATCTCTTTAAATTAACCAATAAACGATCAGGAATGCTTCTTAGGGAAGCCATGGCGGATCCATTACTCGAGCGTTACAGCTGCGTTATTCTTGATGAAGCACATGAAAGGACGTTAGCAACTGATGTTTTGATGGTATATTAAATAATTATAATAAATAAAAATATATTAATAATTATCACGAATTTATCAAATAATAATAATTGTGATAGATATTATAAAACCGATTTTTATATCTTGTTTAGAGTGACCTATTGTTAGTTATGAAGTAATAGTAATATGTATAAATATATATCTAAAAATATATAATTTATTTTTTGAAACTCTATTATTGCTAATTATAAAGTTTAATAATAATACTAAATTAATAATACCTAAATATATAAATGCGTCACTTCATTTTTTTATATTTTTACTTACTTCTATCAAAAGTTAATTAGTTATTATGTTTAATATATTTGGGACTATCATTTTCGTAGTATTTATTGTTCTATATTGTTACAACAAAATTTTATTATTTGTATAGACTTTTTAGTATTTTATGTTTTTTATAATTTATATTTATTATTCGTATTAAATTAAAGACTAATATATTTATTACTAATTTTTTTTGTTAAATATTATTAATATTATTATCTGATGCTGATTGTCCTCGTTTGGTTTCTATTCTGTTATATGCTACCTATTTTATCTTGTAAATTAACGTCAGGCACTAACTATTATTATTTGGCTCCCATTTTGTTATTTGCTACCCATTATTCATTATTACATTTTATAAGTCGCTAAATTATTTGGCTCTATAACATTGATTGCTTCTTAATATTATTTTTCTTCTACATTATATTATAATTAGGCACTAATAATTATTATTTGGTTTCTATTTTATTAATTGCTACCTATTTTCCAATTATATATCATTTTATTATTAGGCGCTAATTATATATTTATTGTTTGCTTATTTTATTTTGCAACTTTATTATTATTAATTGGTACTTAATAATATTAATGTTAGTTGTTTATGAGTTTTCGGGTAGTAATTAATGTATTTACTATAATTCGTAGGTACAGTTTGTGTAGGAATACTTCACTTCTTACTTTTATTTTGTATCAACGATTGATTTTTTTTTTATTAAAATTTTAGTTTTAGCTTATTTATTGTAACTGGACTCTTGAAAAAAGTTATAAAACAAAGAAATAAAAAATTATAGTAAATAACAACTTTTAATGAAAAAATAATTATAATAAAATTAAAAGCATTTTAATTATATATTGTGACATTTTATTATATCTTACTTGTATCCTCTTTTTTAACTTGTACACATCATCTGTGATTTAGTAGTATTTTGGTATTGGTTTATTTATAATTAATTTTTGGAACCTACAGACTTTAAAATTGACTATAAATTAATTATTAATTTGGTCTTATTTTTATTATTGGGATATTTTTTGACAATTTTTCGAATTTTTTTCGTCAGTTAACTTTTTTTTAAGATATTTTCTATAAATATATATAAATGAATTGAAAAATAATGAAAAAAATTACAAAAAGTATATATTTTTTTATTAATAAAAGTTTTATTATTATGTTAGGGATTATTAAAGGAAGTTATGGAACAACGAAAAGACTTGAAACTTGTGGTGATGTCGGCCACTTTAGATGCTGAAAAGTTTCAGTCTTACTTTAATGACGCTCCTCTCATGGTAGTTCCAGGTTTTTACTTATTATTCTTGTTATTATTATGATTATAGGTTTATATATTATATATTATAAAATTGCTATTATTATTATTATGATATCAATATATATATGCTTATTACTTTTATTTACTGTTATTATTATTATTATAACCAATTTTTATATGCTTTTACATTTATTATTATTATTATATTAATATTTTATACACTTTTACTTTTATTTATTATAATTATTTTAATATTTTATATGCTTTTACTTTTATCATTACTGTTATTATAACAATATTATATATGCTTTTTACTTTTATTTATTATTATTATAACATTATATTATGCTTTAACCTCTATTGTTATTATAATAATGTTTTAAATCATTCACTATTATATTATTATGATTTTATTAACAACACAATAATTATAAATTTCGTACTATAAGCTTTTTTTATATATATGTATATATTAAACAACTTAATGCTTCTGTGTTTTTTTTATTTACTTTTAATTATATTTTTAAACAAGAATATATACTTTTACTTTTATTTATTATTATTTTTTTTTAATTATAATTTTTTGAATGCATTTATATTCATTATATTATTCAAAACACTATATATATATAGTTTCTTTTATAAGCTTTTGTTTATTTTTTTTTACTCTTTGGTATTTTTTTTTAAAATATTATATATTCTTCTACTTTTTTTATTTATTATTTTATTTAACACAATTTATGTATAATTAATTTTTTCTATAAATTTTATTATCATTAAGTATATTTACATGCTATTATTTTTATATATTTTTGTTATTTTACTTTTTTAAATAATTATTATTATTCCATTTATAATTATTAATCTTTTTTTATTATAAATTTTATTATACAAAATTTTTTATTTATTATAATATTTATATATTATACATGCCATCATTATTATTTTAATTCTTTATTAACACTATTACAATTGTTATTTATAATATTTTATTATTATTATTATATATATTATGTTATTATATTTTTTATTTATTATTTTTATTTATATTCATATTATTATCGTTAAATAAGTTACTATTATTGTTTATATATTATACATTACATATATGCTTTTACATTATATACTTTTAATTAATTCCTATATGTACTATATATTAATATTTTTTAACTGTTACGACTATTATTAATTTTTTTTTATTTATTATATATTTTTTTTATTTATTACTATTATCTTTGCTATTACTTTTACTATTATATATTATTATTTATTTAATTATTATATTTATATTGTTCTTATTATCCTTTATTGTATTATTCGTTTGTTATTTATTATTATTATTATACTTTTTATTAATTATTTTTATTATTACGTTCATTATATTTTTTATTTTTATATAATTATTATATTTTTTTATTAGTTTTTTATTATTAATGTTATTAATTATTATTATTACATTTTACTATTATTATAATGTTATTATTTTTTATTATTGTTTATTATTATTATTATAAGGACGTACCTTCCCAGTAGAACTTCTCTATACAACTGAGCCTGAACGTGACTATTTGGCTTCTGCTATTAGAACTGCCGTGCAAATTCATTTGTGTGAAGGTTCTTTTTAATTTTTTTCTTTTTTTTTATTGGCTTATTTATTTATTCATACACTGATTAATTTATCTATATCCTTTTCATTGGTTAAGTATATAACTGATTTTTTTTACTATTTATTTATACTTTTTATACGTTTCTTATGATAATTATATAATATATAATTACTTTTTTTTAATAACTTTTATCTATACTTTTTTATATCTACAAACCTTTTTTGAAGTTTATTTTTTATTTATGGTTATATAATTACTACTATTTTTATTATTTTAATACTTTTATTTATAAGGCGAAGGCGATATTTTACTTTTTCTTACCGGAGAAGAAGAAATCGAGGACGCCTGCCAGAAAATCCGGAATGAAATTGCTGCGGCTGGCCCGGACGCGGGTGATTGTAAAATCGTCCCGTTATACTCTTCATTGCCGCCGAAATTGCAGCAAAGGGTCCAATGAAGCATTATCATCATTAATTTAATTATTTTTTATTTTTTATTATTTTATTATTTTTAAATTGTTTTTATTATCTATTTGTATATTTTTTATTGTAGTAATATTTTTTTATTATGTATTTATTAAACCAAAGTTTTGTATTCCGTTTAAATATTATATATTATATTTTATTTTATACTGTATTTTTTATATTATGTATATATTATTATTTTTTTTTAATTTATATATTTATTATTACTATTATTTTTATTTTTATATAACAATTTTATATTTTTTATTATATTATAAATAATTTTTATTATTACTTTATTTGATTTTATAATTTTTTATTGGTTGTATCATAACAATTCTTGTATATTTTTATACTACTATTTATTCATTAATATTTTTATTTTTATACAACATTTGTATATTTTTTATTGTTATTGTATTATTTATTTATTTTATTTTACAAATTTTCTTGTATATTTTACAAATTTTTTATAGTATAAATTTTTTTATCAAAAAATTATATTCGACATTAACTATATTTATTTATTTATTATTATAAATTTTATATATTCTTTATTTTTTACGATTATTATATATTTAATACAATTTATATATTATTATTACATATTTATTTATTATATTAATTGTTTATTATTATTTAGTTATTTAATTTTTTTTATTGCTCTTTTTAGGTTTTTGAAGCCGCCCCTCCCCACAAATCAAATGGTGCAATTTCCCGAAAGATTGTTGTATCCACTAATATTGCAGAAACGTCACTGACCATTGATGGCGTGGTATTCGTCATCGATCCAGGATTTGCTAAGCAGGTCCACTATTTTTTGTTGCGATAATATTATTACCAATTTTATTTTTATCACAAATATTCTAATTATTATTATCAATTCTACTAATAACTATAATTATTTACATATTATACTTAAAGAAATAGTATATTAATTATTTGTTATTATAAATAATTTTTTTTTGTAGACTAATATTTATTATTTATATATATGAACTGATGATAACTTTTTAAAAAAAGTAATTTATTTAAAAGTGGTGTTGAACTTTTCTAAAAATAATAATAATTATATAGTAGAACTACTATTTTTAATAATAAAATATAGTTAAAACAAATTCTTACAGGAAATAAAAAAATTATGAATTTTTTTATAGATAAATGTAATTTTATATTATTTTTTCAAACTTATTTTTATTATCTTTGCTATTAGTTTAGTATTAATGAATGTAATAATAATAATAATAATAATAATAATAATATAAAACTATTTTATTTATTAGAAAGTCTATAATCCCCGCGTGCGCGTGGAGTCTCTCCTAGTAACGCCGATTTCCAAGGCAAGCGCCAAGCAGCGTGCGGGTCGTGCCGGACGCACTCGGCCCGGAAAGGCTTTCCGGTTGTACACGCTTCACTCTTTCACCAATGACCTTCAAGAAAACACATATCCTGAAATTTTGCGGTCGAATCTCGGCGGAGTCGTCCTGCAGCTTAAAAAGTTGGGCATTGCCAACCTCGTGAGTTTTGACTTTATGGATCCGCCCGCACCAGAGACTCTCATGCGCGCTTTGGAATTGTTGAATTATTTAGGCGCTTTGGATGATGATGGTTATTATTATTATTATTATTATTATTATTATTATTATTATTATTATTATTATTATTATTATTATTATTATTATTATTATTATTATTATTATTATTATTATTATTATTATTATCAATATCATTATCATTATCATTATCATTAAGGAAACTTGACAGTACTTGGAGAGCAAATGTCCGAGTTTCCATTGGACCCGCAAATGTCTAAAATGTTAGTTTCGAGCCCGGATTTCCATTGTGCTGAGGAAATTGTGTCCATCTGCGCCATGCTGTCCGTGCCGAACGTGTTTCTCCGCCCGAACGATTCTAAGCGAGCCGCCGACGATGTCAAGGCTCAGTTCTGCCATGAAGACGGCGATCATTTGACTTTGTTGAAAGTTTTTCAGGATTTTAAGGAAAACGAGCTGAACTCTCGCTGGTGTTTTGATAATTTTTTGAACCAAAGGTTTCATTTATTTATTTATTTATTATTTTTTTATTTTATTTTATTATTATTAGATCTCTCAAGTCTGCAGACAATGTCCGTACGCAACTCGTGCGTATTCTTGAGCGTCTCGGTCTTTCTTTGAACAGCAGCGAATTCACTAGTTCCCAATATTTTGTGAATATCCGGAAGGCGCTTGTGTCCGGCTATTTCATGCAAGTGGCGCATGCAGGCAAGTCGGGCGAGTACATGACTATTAAGGATAATCAGGTTGTGCAATTGCATCCTTCGAAATCGATGACGAAGCGTCCTGAGTGGGTGGTTTACAATGAGTTTGTGCTCACTGGCAAGAATTATATCAGGACAGTCACGGACATCCGCCCGGAGTGGCTTCTTGATCAGGCCCCACACTACTACGATTTGGATAATTTTCCAAAATGCGCTGCAAAATACGCGTTAGCTCGACTGCTTGAGGCTCGAAAGCGAAAAACAAGCATCAATAATAGTAGTAGTAATTCTAGTAAAAGGGAGAAAGCCAGCCGTTGGGATTAATATTTAAAATTATTCACCATTGTTATTTGGATTGTATAAAAAAATGTATTTATAGTTTAATCTGACTAATAAACTTTATATATTATTAAGTTATTTTTTAATGAAACTTTTATATATTTTTTAAGTTATAGTACATACATATATTATTTAAACTTTAACACTTAAAAAAAATTTTAAGCGTGAGTTGAGCCAAATTCCTTTTGGTTATATCTTTTATAGTAATAGATAATTTGCAGATTTATAATGCTGGAAAATATTTAAGTCGGTATTAAGGAAAACTTCTAATAAACAAACTAAATAATTTATATCCAATAAATAAAAATAAATCAGTGATAAAATATTTTTAAAATAAAATTTTATAAATTAAAATTAAAATATTTTTTTATTACTTTAAAGCATGTAATACACAAATTATATAAAAAAATAAAAAATATTTTAATTTAAATATACAAGGAGTATTTAACAATTGAAAAATAATATCAAACAAATTAAAAGGGATAAAGTTAAAAAGAATTTATTTTAGTAATAAAATAAAACTTTAAAAGTGTGTATTACACAAATTATAAAGAAATAAAACATAAATTTAACAATAGTAAATATATTTTCAATAAAAAAAGTAAAAAAAAAATAACAGACAAAATCAAAAGTAAACTTTACAATAAAATTATATAAATCTAAATTATTTTAAAATCAACAATAAATATATAATACGAGTCTGCTAAGCAATCCTAACTATCGATAATAAGAAAGTTAGTTAGAAATTAATTGGTATTTTTTTTTTTAGAAAAGCTAATTTTTATAAAACATCAATCAACGAAGTATTGAGAAAAAAAAATCTTGACATTTTAAAGTAGGAAGATTAGTTAAAAAATAGCCTTTAGTTTTTTTTTAAAGCTAATTCTTATGAGCTTAAATTTAACAACAGCAACAAAAAAATTACATAAAAAAAGATAGTTAGTAAAGTAGGCAATTTTCTATAGAAGATTAAAGTTATCTTATTTGATATACAATTAAAATTAAATTTTTTTTTTCAACCATACAAGGATTTAGTTGCGATTTTATAAGTTTTTCATGGTTTAATTAGAATTTAAAGACAATTATAATATATCAAAGAACAAGATTTTCCTGTAACATATTTTATTATCACATTTAACTTGGATTCCATTACTCCATCTTTTTTTAATAGTTGAATCTGCTTGAAAACGAATTTATATACAAAGTTTTAAAATATTTTTATTTATTTAAAATTAGTTAGAATGCCAAAAAAAAATATTTCCAGATTATAAGGTTTTTGGTCAAAAGGATTTTTTTTAAATGACCAAGAAAACAAACTTGCTATTTTTTAATAAAAAAAAGGTTTATATTTTACAAAAAGGAAAAATAAAAAAATTCTAATAGCTTTATAATATTGATACGATTTGGTAAGGGAATTTGCGTAATACCTAAAAATTATTTAAAAATATATTTAAGGTGGTTACGAGGCCGGTACTAAGGTTCTTAAAGCCGAGTAATGTACGATGGAAATCCTTAAATCTCTTTCAAAACTATATTATTAAAATTGTTACGATATGAGTAAGTGAGATTAGTGTGATACTTTATATGAAAATCCTTAAAAAGTTTATATTCAGTGAAACTGTGATGGTGCGGATAAGGATTTCAGATTCGAATATTATTTTATTATGAATACCCTTTATTATTAAAACCATTACGATACTAGTAAGGATTTTAGTTTAGCGTAATATTTTCTTATGACGAATCTTAAGAGTAATTTCAGATCTTATTTATTATTAAGGCTATTGTAATTAGGATATGGATTTTTCATTCGAGTAACAAAAATTTTAAATCTCATAAAAGAACTATATAAAAGTTAAGATTGTTTTAAAGTAAGCAATAAGAATTTTGGATTCGAGTAAAACCCCATATTGATTCTTAAAACTCAATATAAGTAGTATTTATTACCAAAACTTTTACGATATCGGTAAGGATTTAAATTTAAGCAATACTTCTTTGTAAAAAAACTAAAACATAACAAAAATTAGTAAGGATTTTAAGTACTATAAATATACCTATTATAAAAACTTTTAAATCTCAAATAAAGAATATTTATTATTAAGATGGTCACGATATTAGTTAAAAATTTAGATTCGCGTAATAAATTATAAAAATTCTTAAAACATTGTAAAATAAAATTATTTCTCACTGTTACAATATTGGCAAAAAAAATTATTAAATTCGTGTAACACTTTAACATAAAAACTATATTTATATTAAGTCCGTTACGATACCGTTAAAAGATTTAATTCGCGTGATGCTTATTCCACGAAACGATAGATATTATGTATAGAATGTAAACGAAATTAAGCTACTAAAAATAATTTAGACTATTTTCGAACATTACTTATATTCTATGATATGATATTAGAATTGCAGTATATGGTGATGTAACCTAATAATAAAAACAATTTCTTATATCTTTACTTCTCAGTTTCATTTTGTCAGAATGTAACAAGCTTTTTGTATGGGTTTACTTAATAGAGTTATCTCTTTCTCGTTATTTATGTATGATCTTTTATTTTTATTGATATTTGTATCTATTTTACATATTTACATATTGTTTCATAAAATTTTCTCTAGTTTTAATATACTTTTCTATGAAGATACGAGGGCAAAACGAGGTGTATATATATATAAGCTCGCGAAGGAGCAAAATATTTAATTCCTTGCTCCATTTTATCAGAATGTAACAAGAGTTTACTATGAAAATTCAATGTATTTTATAAGAAAAAATTATTTATAAAATTTAAGAGACCATACCGGTTTATCTAATTATTTTTATATATTTTTAAAATAATTATAAATTAATATTTTAATGATTTTATTCATTTTTTCTAATAATTTTTTATATTTTTTTTGATAATTATTTTTTAATATTTATATACATATTTTTCTAATAAAAACTTTATAATTTTTTTTAAAATAAATTTTCATTTTTTATTTTATTTATATTTCTCTAATTATTTTTATACTTTTTTAATAATTATAAATTATTATTTTTTAATATTTTTATTAATATTTTTCTAATTATTTTTTTAAATAATTTTTTCCATTATAAAATACTATTTTTCAATACTTTTATTAATATTTTTCTAATTAAATTTTATAAACCTTTTAAATAATTATAAAATACTTTTATTTGGATTTTTCTAATATATATATTTATTAGTAAATATGAGTTATTTTTTATATTTATTAATATTTTTCTATTTAAAAATTAATGTTATTATTTTTTTAACTTTTATTGATATTTCATCAATAATAATTATTTTATTTTATTGGTTCAATATAATTATTTTTTAAGAACGTAATTAGAACATTTTATTAATAACTTATAATTACAATTTTTTTATAAATAAAATATAACTTTTTACATTTAATACTTTTGTTCATATTTTTTTAACTTTTCTTTAAAATAAAGGTAAATATAGTTTTCTTTCGATACTTTTATTAATAATAAAGACAAGATAATAAAAATTTCACATTATAATTTTCGGTTCGTGAATATCTTCAGAAATAGTTTTGTGCGGTAAAATTTTAGCGCCTTTTAGAAAAAAATATATAATAAAGAAAGTTTTAATATTTAAAAATATAATATAAATAAGAAAATATAAAAAATAGTTTGCAAAAAATAATAATAATTAAATAAAATAAATATACATAAAATAAAGAAATTTGTAAGTATTAAAAATTTACAATAATTATAATAAAAATTATTATTCAAATAGTAAAATTTTTATAAATATTAATAATTAGTAGCAATAAAAGTATATATAATAATAAAAATCTAAAACTAATAATAATAATAACAAACAAAAAGTATATAATAATAACAATATTCACCATTTATATAAAATTCATCGTTTATAGTAACGTCCTCGCCCAAAACAGAAATATTATTAACTCGACACCATCTTGAAGTATTATAAATATATAAAAATTATATTTTAATAATTTTAATAAGTAAATATACTTTTATAATATAAATATTACTATAACATAAATAATTATAAAAGTATAATATTTAAAGTTTATAACTCACTTATAAAAAAATATAAAATGTTGGAATAAACAAAATTTTTATAAAATATAACCTTTAAATAAAAATTTTAGTTATTTTAAGTACTTTTCGTAAAAGTACATAAAAGAGAAATTGAAGTTTTTATACTAAAAATAAAATAAAATATAATTATTATATAATAGAGCTATTAAAGTTGTTAATTATCACAACAATAAAAAAGAAATAAAAAAAATTTTAATTTTTTAAGAATACATATTATTTAAAAAAAAATAATAATTTATTATTTTATTTATAAATATTATAAAATAATATTTTCAAATTAATTTAAAAAATTTTTAAAAAAATTACTTTACAACTTTTTTAAAAAGTAATAAAAAGAGAAATAAAATTAAAAAATAAATAATTAGTATATAAACTAATTATAAAAAAAGTACTATTCATTAAACAATAAATAATAAATAATAAAAAGTAAACAATTTAGTTTTTAATAAGGAATTTATATAAAATGAATTTATATTTTAATAAGAATTCGAAAAGTCTTAAAATATTTTATTTTATATAATTACATGTATTATAAAATAACTTTAAATAATAATAATTATTATTTATCGTTATTCCCAAATAATTATTAAAAATATTATTTTTTTTTAAATTCCTATAATAAATGATATTAATAAATAACTTCTATTAATTTAATAAAAATTTATTAAAAAGTAAACCGTTTATCATTTATTATTCAATATATATAAAATAAATTTTTATTTCTCATTATTCTAAAAATTTTAATTTATACTATTTTATAATAATTATAATATAATAAATTTTAATGATAATTATTATCATTTAACTTTATTTACAAAAATTACTAAAAAAAAATAAAAAATTTTTAAAAAATTAATAAAAACAAAAATTTCATAAAATATTAAAAAAATTATCATATATAATTGAAGTTTTAGAATTATTATTAAATAATAATAACTTTTATTATATTAATAAAATTCGTTAAAAGTGAATTTATTTTTTTATTAATAATTATACAAAAATTAATTTTTTTATTTAAAATATTTTATTTATTATAAATATAATAATTATATAATAAATTTTTTATTATATAATTTTTTAATTTTATTTATATTAAAAATAATAAAACATTTTTTTTAATATTTATAATAAATGATATTAATAAATAAATAACTTTTATTATTTATACAAAATTTTTAAAAAGTAATAAATTGGTTTTATTAATAAATTTATATAAAATGGATTTATATTAATAACAATTCTAAAAAATATTTAAATATTTTAATATATGATTACAATTACAATAAAATATATTTTAATAATAATAATAATTCTTTTAAAAATTATTAATGATAATATAATATTTTTCGAAAAAGTATCAAAAATAAAAATTTTATATTAATTTTTAATAATTGAATAGGAATATTAACTTTTTCTAATATAAATAAATCTATCAAAAGTAATTATTTTCTTTTATTATATTAATTATATAAAATAAACTTTTATTCTCCACAATAATCTTCTAAAAATTATAATTTTTTTAAAGATTTCATATTAATGTACTTTTTTATATTTTTTTAATAAATGTTTTATATTTTTTAATACTTTGCCTTTACTATTTTTATAATTTTAAAATTTTTATAAAACATAAATTTTATATATTATAAACTTTATATGTCTTCATGTTTATTCTAATATTTTTTTTTACTTTTCTATATATTTTTATATATTTCAAAAAAAAATTGATTTTTTTAAATAATTTCGAAAAATATAAAAAAAAAATTTTCCTTAAACATTTTAAGTGAAAATTAAAAATATATTGTTTTATAAAGTTTTTATTAAATAAAAAAATAACTTTTACTTTATTTCAATAATAAAAAAATTTATTATGAAATATATTAATAAAAATATTGTTAACCTTCACAAAAAAAAAAATGAAAACAATAAAAAATAACTTTTTAAACGTTTTTATAAAAAAATTACTTTCCAACACTTGACTTCCAGCCAATAATAGAAGAGTGTATCCACGCGTAACTTTTAATAGTAGAGCCGTCTAAAATGCAGGAACGCGATATTCGCACGCCGTTTTCTATCAGAACATTAGCACTAGAAAAAATATATATAAATATAAATAATGAAATAAAAATATTAAATTTTAATGAATTTTAAAAAACAGACTTTAATGCATTTTTATATTAAATTAAATTATAAAAAGTATAAATTTTGGTATGCTTTAGATAAAAGTTAGAAATCTTTTTAAATGTAAATTATAATAACTTTAAATTTTTTTTCATAACAAAATTTCAAAGTAAAGAAAATATAAATTTTAGTGATTTTTAAAGTAAATTTTTTTAAATTTTATATTTTTACATAAAAATTTTTAGTTGTTTATGATACTAATTTTTTTTTTCAAAGTAAAAATATATAAATTTAAGTGCTTTTAGAATTTTATAAAATTTTATATAAATTTTTTATATATATATATTTTAATTAAAAAATAGTAAGTTTGGTGAACTTAAAGTAAATTTTAATAAATTTTAAATTTTTTCATAGAAAATATGAAGTTCCATAAAATGAATATCCAAAGTAAAAAATATAAATTGTGGTGAATTTTAAAGTAAAAGTTATTAAATTATATATGTTTTTATAAAACTTATATATTTTTTATAATATTTTAATAGTAAAAAAATTATAAATTGTACTGAATTCTAATTAAAATTGTTAATAAACGAAAATTTTTTAATTGTAATAAAGTTTGAAATATTTTTAAAATAATAATGAGATATAAAATAAATTTAATATTATTTTAATACGATATAATTTTGGAAATATATATATATTATACTGAATTTTTAAAAAATTATTAATATATAACAATCTAAAATATTTAAGATTATTTTTTTATAAAAAATATAAATTTAAATAAATTTTAATGTTATCAACAAAAAAATTATTTCTTTTTTATTCATGCTCTAGACTCTAATTACTATTAGTGCTACTATTATAATTACTATTACCCATTATTATTAGTAGTAGCATTTTTATTATTTTATTGTTACTATCATAGTTATTACTACTATAACTACTACAATGATTACGACTACTATCATTATTATCACTAAAACCTTTATCATTACTATTACTATTAATACTATTACAATAATAAAAAAATAACTAATATTATATTAAAAATATATAGTAACTATAATTGAATAATAATTAGAAAAGATTTTTAACGATCAATTAAAATCTTTATGTGTTTTTAAATATAAAATATTAAGTCGTAATAAATATAAAAGTAAATTAAATAAAAATAAAAAAGTATAAATACAAAAAATATAATATATTAGTAGTAAATAAATATAAATTTTAGTGAAGTATTAAAAATTTACAAACAATTTTAAAATTATTTATAAATATTTTATATTACTAGTTGTGATATAAAATTTAAATAGTAAATAATTTAAATTTTAATAAATTTTTAAAACATTGAAAATTTTATAATTTTTCATCATAAATTTTAAATTATTTTTAGATATAAAATTTAATATTTAATAAATTTTAGTAAAGTTTTAAAAAATTATTAGTAATTTTATAATTTTTAAAGAAAAAAAATTTTAATCATTTTTTTAATATAAAATTTTAATAATAAATTTCAGTGAAGTTTTAAGAAATTTACTAATAACTTTATTATTTTTCATAAAAATTAATATTATTTTTTAATAATATATATATTAATAGTATTTATATATATTATAAAAAAGTTTAAATAAGTTATTAATAAATTCATAGTTTTTCATGAAAATTTTAACATTTAAGATATAAATTGAGTGCAAATTTATAAATTTTAGTGAATTTTTAAAACAATTAATAATAATTTATAAAATTTTATAGTAAATTGAAAAAAAAAATTACTAAAAGAATTATTGTTTTTAATAAAAAATTTGTTAAAACTATTTTTGTGATATAAAACTGATCTAATAAAATATAAATATTTTAACGAAGTTATAAACATTTATTAAAAATTTTAGAATTTTTCATAACAAATTTTGAACTATTTTAGAAATAAAATTTAAATAAATTTTTAAAAAAATTATTTATAACTAGTTGTACTGCAAATTTATAAATTTTAGTGAATTTATGTATTTTCATAAATTAAAAATCTCTATAAAATTTGATTTTTATAATAAGAAATTTTTTTATCAGTTTTAAATATTTTAATGAATTTTTAAAACAATTAATAATTTTATAATTTTTCATGAAATCTTAAATAATTTTTGAAATAATAAATTTTAATAATAAATAAATATTAAAATTTTAATAAATTTTTTAAAGAAGTTGAATAATTTTGTAATTTGTCTTAAATATTTTAAATTATTTTTTTTTAACAGAATATAAATAAAAAATAAATATAAATTTAGTGAAGTTTAAAAATTTTATTATAATTTATATTTTAGTAAATTTTTTTTTAGGGAATTCTTTATATCAGTATAAAATTATAAAAACATTCCCTATAGATCTAAATTTTATTGTAAAATTTAAATATTTTATATAAAAAAATTATTTTAAGAAATTTTTTTTTTAAATATAATAATTTTAATAGAATTTTATAATATTTAATACATGTTTGTGTGTAACTGTTAAATATTTTAATATTAATAAAAAATTAAATTTATTATAAATTCAATTTATTTCTTATAGAAATGTAAAATTTTATATGAATTGAATTTTATTGCACAATGAAAATATTTTTATTAAAAAAAATATTTTTAGTGAGTTTTCAAAATTATATTAATAATTTTAAATATTAAATATAATTTAATAAATATTAAAATATAATATTTTAGTATATAAAAAAATTTATTATAAATTTAATTTATTTTTCATAAAAATATAATAATTTTTGTTATAAATTTTAAATTTTTTATAATGATTAAAGTAAATATTTATTTATTATAAATTAATAAAAAAAATATTGAATATTAAAAAGTGGGAATTAAATTGGATTTTATAGTAAATTTTAATAAAAATTTAAGGGAAAATATAAAAATAATTTTATACTAGTGATTAATTTTTTAATTTATCTATTTTATTAGTAATAACAGTTAAATTTAATTTATACTTTTTAAATATATTTCCTTTACTTATTATTGATTCATATTTTATATTTAATACAATTAATAAATATATTTTACCTTTTATATAATTTATTTTGAATGTCCAGTTAATAAAAAATTTATTATTATTTCTTATATATATATTATTTTATTAATATTGTATTTTTTATTTCTTTTATAACTGCTCTTATTATATTTATAAAAAAAATATCAAAATATAAAATATTTATGTAAAAATAATAAAAGCACCCAATAGCCACGTGCGGCCCAATAATGCAGTCTTGTCCAATAATAGCCGAAGGATCCTTTTCATACGAAATAAATAAATTTATTATTATTTTATGTTCACTTTTAATTGTTCATTATTATTTTTATTATTAATTTATTAAAATAAATAAAAAATAAATAAATTGATATAAATAAAAATTATATAAAAAAAGAAATTTATTATTATTATATAAAAAAAATTAAATTATAAATTCGATATAAAAATAAAATCTATTTATAATACAAAAAGAAATTTATTTATATTTATTATTTTACTCATATAAAAAAAATATTAAAAATTTGATGTAAAAATAAAAATAATATATACTTCTTGTTATTATTTATTTAAAATAATAAAAAATAAGGAAATTTAATATATAAATAAAAATTACTATAAAACAGTAATAAATTTATCTTTATATTTATAACTTTTAATTTTATTATTTAATTAATACATATAAAAATACAAGAATTTTTAATTATATTTAATTATTATTTATAATACAAAAATAAAGTTATTATATTATTGTTAGTATCAATATTTTAACATAAGAAATGATAAAAATACTAAATATATAGATGATTTTTATTAATAAAAATTATATATCATTTGTAATAAATAAGATAATTACTATATTTTTTATTAATATTTTTATTAGTATTGTATTAAAATATAGAAAAATATATAAATAATAAATGATAAAGTATATAATAATAATTATTATTTACAATTATAAAAAGATATTAATTATAATTAAATAAAAAAATTATAAAAAATAAATAGATTAAGTCTTTGTTAATATATTCATTAGTATTTCGGTATAATAAAATAAATAACAATTATTTACAATAAAAAAAGATATGTAATGCATTATTACATTATAGATTATACTTTAATACAATAAAATAAATATAAAAATAAGAATTTTATAGGTAAAAGATAATAATAAAAAATTTAAAAAATAAATAACTTATAACAAAAAGAAATATTGCTAATTATTATATTTATTGTTATTTTTATTAATATTTTAATAATATAAAAAGATTGATTAATGATTTATAAAAACAAACAAATAATAAATAATTCTATATAATATAAAATGTTAGTGATTATTATTACTATTTTAATAAGTAATATCAGTAAAATAATAATAATATTAATTATTATTAATAATTATAAACAGATATTTACCATTATTATATTAATTATGATATAAATAAAAAATTAAAAGATTTTAAAAATATATTAAAAATTTTTTATATCTATAAGAAAATATTTATTATATTTGTTATTTTTTTTTATAGTATAACAAATAATATATAATATAAAAAAAATTTATTAGTTAAAAAATAAATAAAGCATAAGAAAATTAATTAATATAATTTTTATAAGTAAAATAATATAATAATATACCTAAAGAATAAAAAATTTAGTAAAATAAATAATAAAAATTGTTATAAAAAATATTTTTATATATTATTATAATTCATATAATTATTATTAATATTTTTATAAAACAAATAAATAAATCAATAAAACCTTTAAAATAAATGTTTCTTTATAAAATATTATAATAAAATAATAAAAGAGTAAAAGTAATTATTAACAATAAAAATATATAAATAGTGAATAAATTATAAAAAAAATTTAATACCATATAATAAATATTATATAATAATAATAAACAATAAATATAAATAATAAAGTATATGGATGCTACATTTTTATTTAATAATAATAAAACACAAAAAAGTTAAAAAGAAAAATAAAAAAAAGTAAAAAATCTTATAAAAATATTTTTTTAAAAAAATGAAAAATTATAAAAAATTGTAAATAATAATATAAAAGTTCATCAAATCATACTTAAAAGTAATAAAAGTTAAGAAAAAAAATAATTATATAATCTCCATAATACAAAAGTATATATCAATAAGTAAAAAAATAATACTTCTTTATAAAAAAAATTACGAAAAACGAAAAATAAGAAGCTATAAAGTAAAATTTAACACTATTGATATACAATAAGCACGGGGTCAATAATATTGGGGCCTTCCGAAAGTTCTTTGCTGGCAGTTTTTTGCAGGTGGTCCAAATAGAGAGCCAATCCCGTTAAATAATCTTTAGGCTGGCCTATGTCCATCCAGAAACCTTTTGAAAAAAATTTATAAACCAATAAAAATCTGGATAAATAGCTAATCAAACGCGAATTACTTTTTTAATATTTTTATTTTTAACTTTTTTATAATTTATCATAATTATATAAATTATTATTTGATTTTCTTGATATACTATTATATTTTTTTTTTAGAGTTTTGAGCTATATTCAAATTTTTTACAATAAAATTAATAGTAAACTAATAGAACTACTAATAAATTAGAGAAAAGAAAAGGAACCGTCAAGATCCATGCAGTACAACTCCTTGTCGTGGGCCATAAACGGAAAAACTTCTTTTTCTATAGAAGTTGGCTTTAACTAGAATAATAATAATAATAATAATAATAATAATAATAATAATAATAATAATAATAATAATAATAATAATAATAATAATAATAATAATAATAATAATAATAGTAATAGTAATAGTAATAGTAATAATAGGTATAATAGAAATAAGGAAACAGATACATTGTCCAACGAAAATATATAAACTTTGCTTTATTTAGCCAATAAAGTTAGAAATGAAGTCAATGGAGTTAATTTTACTTCACATAAAAAATATTATTAAAAAAAAACCAAAATATTATTATAATGTAAACAATATATTAATAATAAAAAAATTATACCAGAAAAAAACTTTGAAAACTTTTTTTTAACGCGTTGTAGTCGATAATATAAATTAATATGAAAGAGATAAATATTATAGAAATAAAAGTTTTACTAGTAAACTTTTGATTATTATAATAAATGTTATTATATAAAAATAAATATAAAACGAATATGCCATAAAATAATATTTCCTAAAAAAGTAAAAAGTTTTACTAATAACGTCTTTTAACTTTTTATTATTAAAAAGCATATTACTAAAATTTTATTATTTTTATATAAATTATTAAAACGTGCACAAATAATAATCTTTATAAAAATATTGATAAATAAGTAAAAGTCTGATAAATTTTTATTATAAAAGATATTTGACTAAATAAAAAGTAAAAAAAATATAATTATAAAATATAGCTTTTTATAAATAATACTATTATAAGTTCTAAGTAAGATGCTTCAAAGTTTTCAGATATTTACTAAATAAAAAAAATTACTAAATATAACAATTAAAGTAGACATTTAATAAAAACATAGTATTACGAGTTTTACTTAAAAAGCTTTAAACCTAATAATAATTTACATAATAAAAAAATATTAGTAAATAAATATAATAAATATTTTATATGTAAATAAATTACTAAATAGTTATTTATTAATCAACTAAATAATAATAAATGATATTAAAAAATTGATAACAAAAATAATAATTATAAATAATAAACTACTATTTAAAATTAATATAATTATTAATAATAATTTACTTAACTAGTAAGTAAAGAAGAAAAAATAAATTTATTAATAATAACAAAAAAATAAAGTAATAATGAGAAAAAATTTTTATAACAAGAATAATAATTTACCAAAAAAAAATAATAAAAAATAGTAAAAATAATAATAAAAATAATAATTATTAATAATAATTTTTTTTAGAAAAATTATTGACAAGAAAATAATAATTAATTAATGACTTATTATATAAAATATATAATAATAGTAAATGAAAAAAAATATATTAATTACAATAATAATTTACTAAATAAAAAAAAATTTATACAATAAAAATAATAATAATAATAAAAGAAATAAAAAATTACATATTATAATTATAAATAATTATTTACTAATAAAATAATAACAAATGATAACGAATTATAAAAAAAATAATTAATGAAAAAAATTTATTTTTAACGATAATAAATATAAATAATACTTAATAAAAAGAAAATATAATAATAAATGATAACAATAATTTATATAATAATTGTTTACTAAAGAAAATTAATTAGAATTTAAAAAAAAAAGTATATATAAAAATATAATAAATAAATATATATTATATAGATTAAATAATAAATGTTTCACTATATAAAATATAAATAATAACAAAAATATTTACGATATAAAAAAAATATTTAAAAAAATAATAATGATAAATAATTCTAAAATATAAATAACTATAAATAATGAAAAAAAATATATTTATATTATAAAAAAAAATAATAAATAATTCTAAAATATATATTAAAATAAAAAAAAATTCACAGATGAATAATAATTATACAAAAAGAAGTCAATAATAATTATTAAAAACAAAAGTTTTAGTACTTATTAATATTTTTATTATATTACTTTTAATAAAATATAAAAACTTATTAAATAATAAAATGTTTTATAGATGATTACAATAAAAATACTTGTAACCAAAATAATAAATTATAATATAAAAAGTAAAAAAACGGTAATGATAACAAAAGAAATATTCGTAAATAATAATTTCTTAACTGTTGTATATTTCTACTGAAGTTAATTTTTTATTTATAAATTAATAAAGTTTTATTATAAAAATATTTAAGTGGATACTGCAAAAAAAAACCAAATAAAGTTGACTAATTTTGCTTAATAACAGTAAAGCTTAAGAAAAAAATTTTTTTTAAACAATATTTGTATAAATTATAATTTACTAAATAAAGAGTAAAAAAAAATTTAACAGAAATAATAATTATAAATAAAAATTTACTAAATATTAATAAATAAAAGTAAATGATAAAATTTTTATATAATATTATTAATATAAATAGTCACTAAATAAAAAGTAAAAGTAATAATTGATAACAAAATTAAATATTTATAACAAAAAAATATTTTATTAATAATAATTTACTAAATAATAATAAACATAAGTAGGTAAAAGAATTTTTTTTAAAAATAATATGAATTATAAATTACTAGGTATAAAGTGAAAAGAATAACAAATTAATAATTAAATTTAACAATTTTCTTAATAAAAAGTAAACTTAATTGTTGGTAATAATAAATATAAATTTTAAAAAAAAATTATAAATTATATATATAAAAAAAAAAAAGTAAAAAAAAAAATAATAAATATAAATAATATTAATAAAAAATATATATTCAAAATAATTAATAATATTTACTAAATAATAACAATAATGATAAAAAAATAATTAAACCAATAAAAAATTACTAAATCTAAAATGTATAATAATATGTTTATAGTAATAGTTATTATTAACAAAAAATGTGTATTTTAAAAAAATATTTATAAATAATAATTTATAAAGTAAATAATATAATAAGTCATAAAAAAATTATAGATAAAAATTACTAAATAAAAAATAAAAACATAAATGATAACAAAATATTTACAACTAAAATAATAAATAATAATCATTAAAAATATACTAATAAAAAGTAAAAATAATAATTTACTATGAAAATATAAATAAAAGTAAATGATAATGAAATAATTTTTTTAAAAAATTCGTCATAAATAATAACTTTCAGATAACAAAAATATTTTTTATAATACTTATTTACCAAGAAAAATAATTATAATACTTATATCATAGAAATAATATATACTTATAGCAAAAATAATAAAATATAAATATATTACTAAATAAAAATATGTATTAATATGAATGAAAACAAAAATATCAATCATTAAAATTTACTAAACAAAAGCAAACTAAAAAAAAAATAAAAAGAAATGATTATAAAAAAATAATTTTTTATTAAAATAAGGAAGAAAATAATAATAAAAATCTCTTATAATTACTAAAGAAAGATAATAAATACTTGTAACGAAAATAATAGTGTATAATATCAATTCCTAAATAAAAAGTAAAAATAATAGAAAACGTTACAATAAAATATTAAAAAAAAATTAATATTTATTAATAAGTATTTATTTAAGTAACAATAAAAGTAAATATTAAGAAAAATTTTTTAAAAATTCTTTTATTAATATAAATAGTTAAATAATAATAATGATAATAATAATATTATAAATATTAATTTACTAAACATCAATAATAAAAAGTAGATAATGAAATAATGAAATATTAATAAAAGTTTAATAAGAAAACATTAAATATAAAAAAAAATTATTAATAATAATAAACTAAATAAAAATAATAAAAAGTGAATAATGAAAAAAATTTATGATAATAAATAATAACAAATAAAATATTTATCATAAAAATAATAACTAACTAAATAAAAGTATTACAAGGTAAATGAATAAAGAAGTTATGTTCATTAATAATTTATTCAATAAGTAATTACAATAGGCCATAAAAATATACTTTTTAATATTTACAACAATTAACAAGAATAATAATTTACTTAATAATTATAATAGTGAGCAATAACAATAAAAAAATAGAACTAAAATGATAATTAACACTAAATAAATATATATAATATTGTATAACCAAAAATTATATAAAAAACGTTTTATAACAAAAAGTTTTTTACTAATAATAGTAAATAAAAGTTTTGCAGTATGATTTAAGAAAAAAAGACCTCTAAAAAACTTTTATACAAAAAAATATATATGAAAAAATAAAAAAAAACTTCAATGCGCTTTAGTATTGAAGTCTCAAAAATGTAAATTCCGGCGTTGATTCGATTCGAAACGTAAACGGATGGCTTTTCGACAAATTGAATAATTTCTCCATTTGATTTGCTCACAATAACCCCTTATGATATTATTTGTATTTGTTAATTTTTTTTTAATTTTATATTATATTTTCAACTATTTTTTTTATTTATTAATTAATTTATAATTAATATTCTAATATTTTCGTATCAAATAATTATATTATTATTATATTTTATATTTTAGTTTTTTTATTTATGTATTATTTTTATATTTTATTAATTATTATTATTTTATAATATTTAATATTCTATATTTTTTTATTATTTTATTATAACATTTTATATACCATTATTATTTCATTATTTTATACTTTTATATAACATTTTCTTTTATTTCTTAATATAATATTTATATTCTGTTATAATTTTATTTTTTATTAATTTATTATTACGTTCTTTTATTTCTTATTTACTTATTATTATTTTCATTGTAGTATTTTATATTTTATTATTTTTTAATTTATTTATTATTGTTATAATATTTTTTCTTTTCATTTTTTATATTACTTTTATTATAGTATATTATCCTTCATAATATTATTATCATAATAAACTCTTCTCTGTGGTTTCTTTATTAATAAATAATTTTTATTATAATATATTATTATCTACTGAATTTCATATTTATAGTATTTTCATTATTTAATATTATTTACTATTTCCTTATATTTTCATTATTTTCTATTTACTAATATTACTGAAACGAAGCAATAAGTTTATTTATACTATTTATAATTATTATTTAAATTTATTTATTTAATACAATTTGTTTAACTTCATTATAATTATATTTATTATTTAGAATTATAAAATTTATAATAAAGTCTATACACTTTTTATTATTAATATTATAATGTAATTTATTTATAAAACTTTAATATAAATAAAATATTTACTTAGTAATTCAGCTCTATTAGTATTATTATCATTTTAAATTCTCTATAATAATTTCTATTATTTATTATTTTATTTATATTTATATTAATATATTATATATTTTTTCCCGATAAGTAACCATTTTTACTTATTAATTATTTTTTTCATATTTATTAAATATTATTAAAATGAATTCTTAAACATTATATATTGATATATGACTATTCTATTTAGTTTATTATTTATTTTTCTAATATACTTTTATTATTATTCATATATATTTGATATTACGTGTTTTTCTTCTTTATATATATTTTTATACTAATACTTTTCTTTATTAAAATAAGTATTTTTATACTTATAAACTATTAATATGCTAAAATGCTTTATTTATTTATTTTAATAATTTTATATAATAGTTATAATACTATATTGATTGCAAGTTCTTTTCTTTATATTATTAATTATTTTATATTTATTAATTATTATTAAAATAATTCTCCATAATACTTTTATTATTAAATACTATCGTCCTTATTATTTATATTTTTATATAATTATTATTAAATAATTTTTTTCCTTAAGATTTTTCTTATATTTTATTATTTTATGTCTAAAAACTATTATCATATATATTTCACCAGTTTTATTTATTATTATTATAGATACATACATCTTTTATTCATTTTCTCTAGTTTTATTATTCAATAATAATAAATATTTTTATATATTTATTTATATGTTTATTAAATTATTATTTATTATTTTTATTAAGTTTAATCTTTATATTAAAAAAATGTTACTCATAAACTTTTCCTTAAAAATATTATAAATATATAAAACTATAATATAAATGTTATTATAAGTTGCATATAATATTATTTATTACTACTCTTTATTAATTTTACTTATTTTATATTTATAATACTTATTTTTATTTAATAATATAATAATCAATATATAAAACTTATACAAAAATTTTTTAATAATAATTCATAAAATATTATTATTATTATTTAAATTTTATCCTAAAAATTTGATGAGTTTATTAAAATATTAATATATTTAATAATCTTAATATATTACTAATAGTTATTATTGTTAGTATTATTATTATTTTATTTATAATTAGCTTACCGTAAGCCGACGGATTAGGGACTTTAGTAACCAATATTGTACCTTCTTTACCGTGTGATTTATGAAATTCTATATTATTTTTAAATCAGACTTAATGCAATAAAACAACATGTATATAAAAAATATTAATATTATATAATAAATATATAATAATAATAACTCAAGACAATAACTTTTTATATATTATTAAAATTATCTAAATTATTATAATTTATGAAATTATAATAAAAGCCAAAAAAATTAGAGTATAATTATAAGTTATTTACATTTTATTATTGATATTGAAAATTATATTAAAAAACAAATTTTATATTATTTATTAATAATAAAAAATTTATTTATATGATTTAAATTTTTATATTTATATAATTAATATTTACAATTATAAATAATAATTATTATATAATAGCTATAAAGTTAGTAATAATCGATAATAATAAATACTACAAAAAAAGAGCATTAATATATAAAGGTCGGATATATACAGCATCATTTTTTAAAAAAAGCTAATTAGAATATTATAAGTGACGAATAGCGTGCAGTATTTAAAAAATCTCAAGAATAACTTACCAATAAAAATAACGCAACATCAAATGTTAATTTAATTTACCAATGGCCTTTGTAATAAGTTATTGATATTAAAACAATGTCGAATGGTTAGCATTAAAAATAATAAAGCCAATAAGAAACTATAAAAATATGCTAAATAATATTGGGACATTATGTATTTAAGAAAAGTTAAAATAAATATCTCGACTAATAACGTTGATAATAAACTGATAACCAATAGCGTTTGCAAATAATAAACTAACCAAGAAAATGGCGTAAAAAGCATAAAAAGTAATTAATGATTACACAAATAGGGTTCATTAAAAAATTTACCGTCTATAAAATTAAATTTTAATAAATTTTAACCAATAAGAAAGAGAAAATGTAAAATAGATAGAAAAATAATGTTAACCAATCACCTTCATTAGTAATATAATACACCAACCAATGGGGTACTATAACATAGAGGATAACAAGCCGTTAGGCCAATAAGTATAGCAATAAATAATTTATAAATATAAAGAAACATTAAACTATGTTTATCCATAGCTAATAAAATTCATTAAAATTAATGAAATAATTATTCTAGTATGTTTTTATAGAGAAAATTATCCTTAAATTATAAAACATACAAAATTTTGAAGGACCTATAAAAAGGGTGCCGTTTTAGCATGTATTTTCACCAATTACAAACCTACCAATCAAAGAAGTCTTGCCTATAAAGAAACGGATCCAAATGCGCCGATTGGATAATGAAGAAAGTTATCAAGAGCTAATAATTAATAGTCGCCTTGATAGTATAACACTCGTCAAATCACGTTACGTAGGGCGGCAGGCTTCAAGGCAATTCGATCAACAAAAATAGTGTTAAAAAAAATCAATAGAATGGTGTTTAAAACGGGAGCATTTAACATTTTTTATTTGTTTTAACAAAAAAAAATTGATAATAAATTTCTCTGAATAGTTACTTATAATAAATTGTACGTGACGAATAAAACTTTTTACATCTTTAAATTCGACTAATAAGAGCAATAATAAGAAAATTTTTAAAAAATACAAGAACTTAATTATGTAAAATTTTTATGCGTTGAAAAATTTAACAATTCATATCGTTAATAAAACATGCAACAATAAACGTTTAGAATACATACAAATAACCAATTAAATTGTAGTAATCTTAAAGTTATTATAAAAAGTTAAATATATATACAAGTCCTCCGCAGGAAAACTAAAATAATTATAATAAATATATAGTATAAAAAAAGAACTTTAATAAAATTCACCAAGAAATTTATCTTTGATAAAAGTTGATAATTACCATATAATATTTAAGCAATAAATAAAAAATTATATAAAAAATGAATTAATATGGTTATTCTTAAAAACATTTTTTACTTTTCTTTACTAATTTCTATAATTCTTAAAACTACTTTATTTTATATAATAAAAATATTTTTTTTAACTTTTACATTTTAAATACTTTTATAAATTTTATTCACTTTCACTATTTTTATATATATATAAAAATATTATATAATATTATTATTGTTAGTTTTATATTTATAATAAATATATGTTTTTTTTACATTTATTTTTTATTTACTTTTATAAAATTGATAAATGTTTGTTAATTTTATATATACAAAAAATATAAATATATGTTATTATTATTTTTATAAGTATTTTCATTTTTTTACAAATTTGCTATTATTTTCAAAACTTTTTTTATAACATAATATATATTTTTTCGCATTTACTTTTTATATTCTCTTATTAAAATTTATAAACTTTTATTATTTATATAAACACCAAAATATTTTATTACATTATTATTATTTTTACTTTATATAATAAAAATATATTTTTTTACATTCATTTTTATTTCCTTTTATATAATTGTTCACTTTTTTTATTTATACAAGTATAAATATAAATACATACGCAAAAGTTTATCGAAAGGAAAGTTGCAAACAACATCGCTATTCAAAACAAAAAAAGGTTCATCATCTGATTGGAGGATATCTCGAGCTAAGGCCAGAGGGCCGGCCGTCCCTATTAATTATTATAAAAAAATTTTCAACTATAAACGTTTTAATAATAACAACTTCAATAATTTAGTACAATTAATAATAAAAATCGTATAATTCAAGTTTTGATATCTAAATTTTTAATGGTAATAAAGCATGCAGCAAAATTTCTTAGAAGTTTTGCTATAATATTATTTTTTTATAAGCTTTTTTATAGTTAAAGAGTAGGAATTTTGTAAAGCTTTTTTTTATGCAAATTCCTATAAATATTGTTATAAAAAAAATTTTATAGTAGAATTTTTATAAAGTAAAACTCGTAAATTTTCAATTTTTAATAGTTATAAAGCGTCCAACTCCATTTTTAAAGCGTAATTTCTTATATTGTTATGTAAATATTTTTTATATATATATATTTTTTTATTTAATTAGTAGAATTTCTGTAAAACTTCTTTTTTTATGCAAATTTTCTATAAATACTCTTAAAAATATACTTTTAATAAGTTTTTTTTTATAGTTATAAAGTAGAATTGTAATAAATTTTTAGTAATAATAGAGTGTAAGCCTTCTTTTTTATACAAATTTTCCTATAAATACTGTTAAAATATTTTTTTATAATTTTTTTGTGTAAAGTACAGAGGCCCTCTAAGTAATACTCTTTCGTTTTTAATTTTTGAGATATAAATTTTTAATAGAAATATTACGTTCAGCTTATATATATTTATCAAAAGTTTTTTAATAGAAAAAAACTTGTATATATTCAATTTTCATTATATAATTTTTTTATAGTAATAAAATAGGAAGTTTCTTTTTTAATAATAATAATAAAGTTCACCTAAAGACTCATTTTCTTCAGAAACGATAATCTTTACGTCAAGCAGTTTTTCATAATCTTTCAAAAACTTTTCCATCACGTTCGACCGGTAGTTGACGGCGAGAATAATAATAGAAACGCCAGACTATTATTATTATTATATATTATCAATTCTATTATATAAATATTAGCATTATTTGATATTTTTTATTATTATTTTCATTATTCGTATTTTAATTATAAACATTTATTATTATTATTCATTATTATTATTATTATAAAATTATTTAATATTTGATATTATTATATTTATTAACATCATCTATTATTTAATATTATTAGTCTCATTTATATTATTTGTTAATTCGTTTATACTATAAAATTATTATTTATAATTTACCACTTATATTATCCACATTATTTCTATTTATTATTATAATCAATTATATTATTTATTTTTAATTACTATTAATACTATTTTTATTTATTATTATTATGTTAATCATTATATTGTTATTATTTAATATCATCCATAATTCTATAATAATTATTTATTAGTTCGTTTTAACATATAATATTTGTTATTATATAATATTTAATATTTATATTAAATATTTATTAATTATTACTCATTCATCATTATTTATTATTATTATAATTATTATTTATTTTTTTGTTGTTTTATAAATTATAATCATTAATTATTATTTATTATTTAATATATCATTATAATAATTATTTTATTATATATTCATTGTTATTATTATTCAACTTTAGACTTTATTATATGCTCTACTAAACATAATAAACTCTATAATTACTTCATAAAATAAATTAATAAAAATCAATAGCCACGCCAAATTTATAATAATGCAAACAAAAAAATGATAGCATTTATTATTATTTATTAATAATTATTAATAATTTTATAGTAATTGTAGTTTCTTTAATAAAAATATTGTTATAATTTTTTTGAATAATAATCTTATATTGTTAAGATTACTTATTTTCATCTTATAAAAAAAGGAAATTACTATAATTCAAAATAAAGAATTTTAAAAAAAAAACAATTACTTAACAAGGTTTAATTAAGTTATATATATTATTCACTACTTATAAAAATATACGCTCTTTAAAAAAAAAATTTAAATGAATTTCTTATAATAATAATAAAAAGCGTTAAATTTAAGGATTTCCTTAAATATATGATGTGTGAAGATAAATTTTAAATTTTTTCTTACAATTAGTGTGTAAAAAGTTAAAAATCTAGATTTTAATATAATTATGTAAAACGTTAAATTTCAATAATTCCTTGGGATTACTCCGTAAAACTTTAATATTTCAAAAAATATTTATAATTAAGATAAATGTAAAGTTTAAAATTTTTCAATGATTATTATTATAACATAAACTGAAAATTTACTTATAATTATTATGTAAAACGTTATAAAATTCAAAATTTTCTTATATTTTTTTAATGCAAAACAATAATTTTAATATTTTATCCTAAACCTTTTTTAGCTCTTCTATTTGGCGGACTACCATCGCTTTATTAGCAAATTCCACCATGGGTTTGGGTTTTGAGAGTGTCAAAGGCCGTAATCTCGTACCATAGCCTCCCACAAGTATCAAAGCTTTCATTCTTGGACAATAAGACTAATAAAATGATAAAACTAAAAAAGAAAACTTCAAAAAAGGAATAAATTTTTAGATAAAATTGAAGTTATTAACACCTAATATTAAGATTTCTAAAAGAAAAGGCTATTAAAAGAAGCTAACTAAAATATTTTTCAAGCATATTTTAAATTATTAAAAGTTTTAACACAAATCAAATAGAAATAAGTTTTGTACTTTTAATCAATAATACATGATAACCCCCAAAAAATAATTATTACTAAACAGAAACAGATAGAGCAATAGAAAATAAAGTATAAGTAAATACTTTTTAAAAATAATATACTAAGTAGCCAAAAACCTAAGTTTTAATAATATACTATAGATGACAACCGTTAGAAAGATATATATTTTTATCAACGCGCGTGTACTTTAGTAGTTATTTGTAAAAAAAAATTAACACTAGCTAATGCACGTGCTATATCGAATTTATTAAAGCTGTGCTATTGGTAGATCCCTTAAAATAAAATGCTTGTTACCAATAAAAAGTAACTGATTCATAAATTATACTCTTTTTATTTCTTTATATCCATTGTATATATAAAAATAACTTATATAACTTTTAGTTATTGTTAATAGTATTAAAGAGTAATACCTCTATAAAGAACGTCGTGATTATAAATAGTATTATTTAAAAATTAATTATAAGAAAAAAAGGGGATTATAACGAAGTTAGGCTCACTATTAAAGCAAAACAGGTGAAGCTCGCCTAGATGAAAATAAGTTTTCGGGGTTTAATTTAAACAGGTTATTATTCATGTTTTTTTATATATAACTTAAAAGTGTGCGACTTTAAAAGACTGTTTAAGAAAAGAAGAATATAAAATAAATAACAATTATAATGATATTTATAATAATTTTGGATATATCGTTTAAGTAAAATAATAATATAAATTTTTATGAAATTAGTGAAATGCTTCCTTTCAAATAGTTTTTAATATCATATAAAAATGTTTCTGAGGAAACAATTGCGCATTAAATAATTCCTGTAACTCTCGACAGTCTTTATCTTTCGGGTGTACTGTGAAGCAATTCAAAAATAAATAGCTTTATTTATTTTTATACGTTTCTTCATACTCCTTTAAAAGGTGCAACAATTTTATTAAACTATTTGAAGTGAATTTACGAATAATATATAAAAAATTGGCCTATAACAAGTTTCGATTAGCATGTTGTTAAAGTGTTTTTGATACTGAACATTAAAGTGAACGAATAAAAAAAAATATATCATTTTGATATATATTTAAACGATAAAAATAAATTTGAAAACGTATCTTATAATATGAAAAAGTACTTACTCATACCCTACTTTTTAATCTATAAACAAACTTTGGATTAATTTTTAGTAGTAAAAGGTAATCAAAATGCTAAAGATACGTGTACGCAGCAGCCAACGGAAGGAAACATTAACATTAAAAACAATAACAATAGCTATAATTTTAATAATTTTATTTAAATATACTCTTATCAAAAGCAGTAGAAATGAGTTAAGCAAGCTATGTTTGTTATAATTAATTAATATTAGACCAAAAGTTGTCGATATTTTACAGCGAATTTAAATCGTTCTGCTTATTCGTCATAAAAAAATTCTCATCGCGAGATTTCTTTTTGCGCTAATAATAATAATCTATATAAAAAAAAAGATTTAGTAGCAATAAGAACTGAAGTTAAAACACAGCCCATCTTTTTAGAGGCTTACTATCCCCTTTAAAACCACAGAAGACATGAACTTAGACACAGGAGGCTGCACAACCAAACCAATTATCGCTAATGCAGCATCGCCATTAATCCTTATAGCTCAGCGATAAAAAGAGCACTGACGGTAGAATTAAGGGTCATCCTCGTAACCATTTTTATCGATCTTTGGTGTTTGCATACACCTCGCTTCATAGATTCTGATAAAGTAGGCGCCTTTGAGCCACAGGTTTGTTAACAAATGGCGAAAACTAACCCTCCAGACATCTTGATTAGCACGTTAAAAAAATTGCAATTAAGGTGTAGTCTGCTCCAAATGGGAAACGGATGGGGACATAGAGAGTATTCAGCTCTTTATGGACTTGGCCAGTTAATTGATTCTCCCTAGCGATCTTTTAACCATATCCAACTATCATTGACGGCACCTGCTATTACCAAACATTGCCATTGCCGAGTTGTAGGCGCAGGGATCAAGTCTTACCACTTCACCACAAAAACACATAAGGAATACCACTTGATGGCTGCCTGATAAAATTTACACGATTATCTGCTAGCGTGGAACCCCTTATCCGTGCAACCATGATGTTGCAGCGTAGTGAGAATAAAGTAGCGCTAAACTGAATCCACAGCGTTAAAAGATGACAGCACTCCATAATCCTTGCCCAAAGAACAACTTCACGACGGCCAAGCCTGAGATACAGAAATGTGTGCGTTTACCTCTACCTTCTTTGTGCGACGACACTTTTGTATGAGGACGACCTAGATCAGAGTAATGTTTTGGACGATAATATGACTGCTCAGTTTTTGCCCTATCTCTGTTGCTGTTCCATCACATTCGTTATTTATTAGATTGTTAAAGCTCTCTTAAGAATGAAAGACGACAGACCCGTAGTTCATCATTAGCTCGATTCTAAATTATAAGCTCATAATGGCGAATAAAGCGTCCATTCTGCCTTTTAAACTCATCCCTGACCTTCACCCTCTTTCTGTTGCTGTTGTGATGCCGCTAAGGAAACTGATCAAGTACAGGTCCAGCAGCTTCTTTTGTAGGCGGTAAAATATTGGTGTTATACTGTACCGTTTAAAAACGTGTGTCGCGGTCGCAAAGTTTATATTAGCATTCCGCTATGGCTACAACAACTTCTCTGTCTACCAAAGCAGATGCCCTCTCCTTCAATTTCTGAAAAACTAAAAGTGCAGTATATTCTTTGACATCTTAAGTCTTTTCAAAAGAGATTGCACCTTAAGCATACGGAAGAAATAGGTAACTGATGATTTGGCAAAGGCCTCTCTACTAGCGCCCTTGCTCATCGCGCTCCTTGTGTGCACTGTGTTTCCGGCCGGCAACGCCCACACACAGAAGGTCTTATTATTAAATTGTTAGGTAATAACTACCATAGAACAATCACTTGCTACCATTTACCTTATAGTGAGCGTTATATCCTCGTGATCCTCAATAAAATGTTTAGCTTTCATGTTTGCTCAGGTGTTCTAATTTTTATTTTGAGATTGCTTAAGTCGAAATCAACAGAAACTCTAATAGAAAGACGACCCCAGTTGGGTGTGGTTAATCCTTTATGTGTACACGTTCGATAGTTTACTTTACCTACTTATAATTTTTTTAAAGATGATAAGGGGAGTAACTCGTTGCAATCCTTTTGCGCTAGCATTTCAGAGCTGTCTATTCGTTTTTGCTGACCCAAAACATACCTTGAAGAAGCGCGCCTCACCTTCTTCACGCTGGCCCCATGTCCTTCCCTAGCTAAATGTTTGAACAGAAATACTTGAAAATTATTAATGTACTTTTATTTGTCACTCATTGCAACTTTATGTTTATGCAACTAGCCAATCATAGTCATGAGTTTTTTGTTATACCCAATTATCGTTAATAATACGTCTTCTCTTTAGAGAAGCGCGTTTAGTTGGCGAAAACGGTGTCACTTTACAACATAAGACAGAAAAGAGGCAATCAACCACACTCTTTTAACTATTTGGTCGGACCATTTATATACCTTTACTAAAAATAAGATATGTGTTCATATATGTATATTTGTTTAGATTTGGTTCAAGATTATTTGTATATACTTGTTTAAATTGTTTTTGTTCAAAAGTTAAAAAAAATTAGCCGGATTTGTTTATAGTGATATTTAGTTTACAAGGTTTTTTTCTTAAGTAAATTTTTGATCGGTGTAATCCCTTTTAACTATAAAATTAATGGTTCACGTAAATTAGTAAATTTAAGTTTAAAAACTTTTATATTATTCTTATTTTAAAATATATAAAATTTTAAGATTATGTTTTAAATAGTTCAATCAATGTGTTACTATTGTTACTACTATTACTTATTTATTTATGCTATGTAGTTTTGATGTTAAAACTAATTTTCAGTTCAGTGCTAATTTTTACCTAAAACGGTTAAGACCTTCCGCGTGTTGTGCCTTGGTTTTCTGTTATAATTAAAGCCAACACCATGATTAAAGTTTAAAGAATAAAAAATAAATAGATAAAAATTTACTAAAATTTAGTATTTAGGCCAACATATTATGTATGCTATCAATCTGGTCTATAAAATTGCTATACGTATCCAACTTGTTCACTTTTCACAGCATATAAATTATAACAACAACGCGCTCAGTTGATAAAATAATTTTGTATGCAGTGCAAAGTAATTTTTAGAGCTAATTTCCTTAAATCGTATTCATTATTATTTTTACACCTAATTATGTGGTCGTTTCTAACACTTTTTTATTTAAATTTTAGGATGGTCTTTTAAAAAAAGTGCATTTTAGAATCTTGTTATCATAAAAATATTAATTCTTTGAAGTCTTTCATCTGTCACTACTGATTAGTGATTGAATTATTTTCTTCACCTAAGTATTTTTATTTTTTACAAGTATTAATATACCTGTTTACTTACATTACTATCGCGGATATATTGTGTTTTCTCTGCCTACAGTTTGCATATATAGAAACCTTTTTTATTAGCGTTTAAGGTTAGTTTATAAATAGGCCAGCTTAGTATGGAGGACAAGGTTTAAAAACAATTTAAATTTTTAGTAAAGATGTTGCCTTTTCAGCATAGAAAACACACAAAAGCGATAGTAAAAGCGATTGCATTCTCATGCTTACAGTATGAAACACAACTGCCTGGAAAAAAAGATTTGAAGCTTTAAAAAAAAAGTCAAGTTTTCGTAACAATTTAATTAAATGTTTTATAATCTCATATTTCAGCTGTTATTAACTGAGAGTTTAACAAAACTTGTGCAAGTTAATACCATCTTTATGTAAGCAATAAAAAATATATTTCTTAAATTTTTAAGAAAAACTTTACTTTTTTTGTTTGGTCTCTTTGTTTTTGGTAACAAAATTTAGTACACAAGGAAAATTTTTGTATAATCACAGTTTTAAAAAATTTATATAATCTAAGCAATTTAGTAAAAAATACAAGGTATAGAATCAATATAAAAGCGCAAGTTCCGTTGCTCGCCTTTTAAATTAACCTTAGAAGATGCAAATACTTAACTGTGCTTTTACCTTCATAGTAGCTAATATATATATATATATATATAATATGAAGCCCGTAACGTTATAAGTGTAGATCTTAGTAAAAACGTAAAAAAATTAGTCTTAGTAGCAATATAAAAGCATGAAAATCATTTAGCAAAGTTTTTACTTCCAAGCAATAAAATTCTTAACGGATTATTCAAAGTTGCTTCAGGTTTTTAAATATGCTACACGGCTTTACAATTATATAAAATTAAGCTAGATTATAAAATAACCTTTTATTTAAGTTCCACAACTTAAGCTTCACTCTCACAAACGCTGATAACATAATTAAGCAAAATATGTACTACAAGGAAATATTATGTGATATTATGTAATATTTGAATAAAAATTATATTATTTTAAGATCTACTAGTATTGCAGACAATAAACATCTTTCCTTCAAAATATTTATTATAAAGGCTTCTCTAATAAACTTTAAAGTACCATATATTTCTATTTGAAATGGATAACTTGACAAAAAGAAATTAAAGAAAAAAGTGTTTTATTAAAAATATCTCAACAATTCAATTATGGCTAAGGCAAGAAGTTATTCATACTATGAATATTGTTGCCTTTTTTTTTTTAATTAAACTACGAGGAAAAAGTCAAGAGTGTCGTAAGCTTCTTTAACAAAAACTAATTCAAATACTTGATTAATTAATTTTAAGCCATAAAAATCTGTTGTTTGCTAATTTCTAAACAGCAGATTTTTCTGGAGAAGAATCTTCGCCGAGTAAATTTAGCAAAGAATGATTAGAATTATTACTTGAACCATCGAGCATAGTGTGGAATACGTTACTACTTAAATTATTAGAAACGAAAAGATCGTTTTTTTCTTCGTCAATAAAACCATTTTCCTCATAAACATTTGCAGTAGCTTTCCTTACTTTAACAGTACGTTGATCATCAGTGAAATTTAAATTTTCGGTTATTTCTTCAAGTATATTAAGATCACCCGAATTAGAATTTCTTAAGTTCGGATCCTGTTTGGCATCTCTTATGCCGAATAATCGAAGCCCAAAGCCATCACAACTAACTTCAGAGAGCTACATAGTAAAACAAAAAAAAAGATTATATATAATTTAATGGTATGTAGAATAATATCATGAAGTGAATTGATACGTTTGGCAACAGTTTACTTTCTGATGAGGCCGGATGAACCTATTAATATATGTACAATTACACAGGATTATTTTGCTATAATATAGTACAAATAAAAATACAAATATAAATATATTTAAATAAAAAATATACAGTGTCACTAGCTTCAGAATTAATCTTATGCACGGGCCCCTGTGAATTAAAAATTTTGTGTTAAGTTCATTCGTTAAAACGAACATTTAAGACTTGGTATTAAATAATACTTTAATATACAACTAAATTTAAATTATCGAATATTAACTTTTTGAGGATTATAATTTGAAGCTTGACTTTGACAAAGTTCTGTGGCTTTCTTAGATCTTGTAGGATATGACTTTGTAGTTTTACTCTTTACATTGACAGAAGATTGTTTGTAACCGCACTTACTATTATCCTTAGCCAACTTGTTTTGAAAACTATTATTTTTGTCGTATTCCGAAAATTTTTTACTTTTAAAGCCACTATTTAAATCCTTCTTACCAAAAACTTTTGCAAAAGAGCTAATGTTAGAGATATCAGTGGGCCCAGCAGTGGTTACTGACTTACTTTGCAGGTCAAAAGGCTGGAAAGATCGAGGATCCGCAGAATTATTTTGAGACAAATTAAAAGAAGTATTTATAGTTGTCCAAGGAAATTCTAAAAAACTATCAGAATGGTTGCCGGAAATTAATAAACTATCAGGCTGCGTTAAACTTGGAAACTGAGAGGATTGTATAGAAACAGAATTTTGAGCATCGAGAATTCTGTGAAAAAGTTTTGGCTTTTTAGATTGTTCAGTCCGAAATTCAGATTTGTTTAGACTATCTATTTCTACACTATTTAGGCTTCTTGGAAGAGAGAGATAGGCATTCAAATCCGGACTGGATTGACATTTTTCAGCTGTAAAAGGGAATTGAGGATCGGAAGTACGTGGAGGTATTTTTTTTTTGGTGAAGTCGCTTTTAGCAGTCTTATTAATGACTCTTATTAATATTGTAAACTAGCTTTGAGATACTGTTACGAACGCCCTTGTTATTGTTATAATTAGTTTTATTTTTGGTATTAGTGTTATTATTACTAGGAACCTTTATAGTACTTCTGGTATTATAATTAAAAACTGTATTACTGTTAGATTTTAACCTTTTTAATTTACCATCATGCTCAGAATCTAAGCAGTCCTTGCTATTATTAATTTTTTCCTTTGGAGAACCTACTAGACTTGGAGCCTTAAGAGTAATAAATTGAGTTTCTTGAGAGGCTACTTTCCAACCATACTCTAATTGAAGCGGGGTGGAAATTTCTAATATTTCCGAAGCCTGAATTACTGTAAGCTCTACTGAATTTTGTAAAGTCCACGTAAAGTCTCTGTATTGTTTTGAATTTTTACATGGTTTAAGATATATTTCAAAGGAAGAAAGATCCTGTGATAAATAAATTTACGATTATTATTACTAGAACAAAAATTGCAGAACCTTCTCTCCCTCAAACACTGAAGCCCACTTTTTAGCGAGATGTTCAATTATACTTGGCAAGGTTTTATTTGGCTTAAGTGTAAGCCTGACGGGGTAATATTTTTATAGTATATATAAAATTAAACAGTTACGATAAAAGCTTGTATACTGTAATAACGGATTAAAATTTTTTTTTCTTAACCGTTCACGAAAGTAATTGTCCGCTGGGAAAAGCTGCACAATTATCTTTGCTAGTAGCT